TCCTCTCTTTCATGTTGGCAAAACGGTCTATGGCTCTGTCATACAGTATGTTTTTTGTTTTAGTTTTCATAGGCTACCTAGCTAAAATGCTTGCTAGCCTAACTTCCTCGCATGGGCAAAAACGAATCAGCTAAGTTAGCTAGCTAGTTAACGTGAGCCTACTAGGCTATATCTAGGCTACATATTGAACTTCAATCGTCTCAGGCCAGTGGCACAATATAGGAATTTATGGTTAGATCAGAATCGCTGTCATAATCATTGGCCTGTACAGAGAATTCAGTCAAAACCACAAATCCACATCTCCATCCATGGCTTAGGAAAGGGACGATTTAGTAAGCTAGCTACTGCAGGACATCAACACAAGCAGACCAGAAACAGACAAGTTTGTCTGACCATGATGACATTTAGTTTAGGATGTGATTTGATTGGTGTGAAGCCAAATCCAAACTGGCCTCCCTTGGGGGGTGTTTTGCTGGGCCAGGACAAACCACAGTTGAGCTCAGCTCAATGCTGACTGGCTAATTATTTTATAATTTTTTTATCAAGGGAGGCCTAATGCTCAATCAATCAAATGCTACTCCGGCAACATGTCATACTCTTGTTCCAGACAGCATCATATACATGGGCTACACATACTGAGACAGAAGGTCGCTGTTTCCCTCACTCGTATGATTTTTCCGGTGTGATTCAGCCACTTGCGAATTGGCAGAAAATTATGAAAACACAGAGAGATGAAAGATAAATTATTTTATCATTTTAATTGTTTTATTGGTCAAATATTTGGGGAAGCCTGGCGTCTCTTGGCATCCATGAATACACACCACTGGAATGTGCCAATTTGAAAGCTATAATTTTTTGTTGTTGCTTAGGACATGTTACATTTTTTAAAAGTAGCACTCATGCTAGAAAAGGTTGGAGACCCCGTCATAGATAGAAGCAGGCCATTGGCTGCCTTCATAACGAGGGGTATGTACGGGAGTTCTGATTGGTTCCAAGTTTAGCAGGTCGGCAAATTTGCCTGAGCAGACAGAGTGCTTGTTCAACATTGCAGCCGACAGCGCAGGTGACTGCCGACTACAAATCACCTTGCATCATAAATAACTGCTCATTATTATTTGTAGATCAGTCAGTCAGTCACCATTTACACACAATGCATCATGGATTTGATGCTATTGATCATGGTCAGAGTGTTGAAATATACGTTTTATGAGAAAATGTGAAGAATTTAAGTTGCCAACAAATGTTATAGTCATCATAAGAATGTTTTACTGTGATATCGTCCCTCGACAGGTATCGATCAACTTCACTTTTTTCGGCTTTGGCCCACCACCTAAATAGAATCATCATATATATATTTTTATTGTCACGTGCACAAGTACAGTGAAATGCCTTTCTTGCTCTTTCCCAACAATGCAGTAATCAATATCAGTAGCAGTGGTGGAAAAAGTACCCAATTGTCATACTTGATTAAAAGTAAAGATACCTAAATAGAAAATGACTCAAGTAAAAGTAAAAGTCACCCAGTAAAATACTACTTGAGGAAAAGTCTAAAAGTATTTGGTTTTAAATATACTTAAGTATCAAAAGTGAATGTAATTGCTAAAATATACTTAAGTATCAAAAGTAAAAATATAAATATTTTCAAATCCCTTATATTAAGCAAACCAGACGGCATAATTTTTTTATTTTTTATTTTATTTACGGATAGCCAGGGGCACACTCCAACACTCAGAGATAATTTACAAATGAAGCATTTGTGTTTCGTGAGTCTGCCAGATCAGAGGCAGTAGGGATGACCAGGGATGGTCTCTTGATAAGTGCGTGAATTTGACCATTTTCCTGTCCTGCTAAGTATTCAAAATGTACTTTTGGGTGTCAGCGAAAATGTATGGCGTAAAAAGTACATTATTTTCTTTAGGAATGTAGTGAAGTAAAAATAAAAGTAGTCAAAAATATAAATAGTAAAGCAAAGTACAGATACTCCAAAAAACTACTTAAGTAGTACTTTAAAGTATTTTGACTTAAGTACTTTACACCTTTGATCAGTAGTACTATAAAATAAGTCAAGTAGAACATAAACACACAAGAAATAGAAATACGAAGAACACGAGAAAGTAAGTAATCTATATACAGGGTCAGTTCCAGGGTTAGTTTCATTACCATATTTACAATGTGCAGGGATACTGGAGTGGCAGGGTTAGATATGTGTAGGGGTAAGGTGATTAGGCATTGGGATATATGATAAACAGAGTAGCAGCAGCATATATGATGATTGTATGTGAGTGTGTGTGCATGTGTGTAGAGTCAGTATGAATGTGTGTGCGTGTTATGAAGTGGACAGGTTTACCAATACTTGTGGGAAGAATAGTAAACAAACAAACATTTTTTTTGTCAGTCCCCACAAGGTCAAATGCTATTTCTAGTGGGGTTAGGGTTAAGATTAGAATTAGTGTTAGGGTTAGAATTAAGTTTAGTGTTAGGGTTAGGAGCTAGGGTTAAGTTTTGGGTTAGGGTTAGGGATTAGGGAAAATAGGATTTTGAATTGGGTTAGGGTTAGGGTTAGGGTGAATTGTGTGTCCCCACAAGGTTAGTTATACAAGAGTGTGTGTGCGTGTTTGTGTGTGTGTGTGTGTGTGTGTGTTGGTGTGTCAGTGTGAGTGTGTGTGAGTGAGTGAGTGTGCATAGAGTGAGTGTGTGAGTGTGCATTCAAGGGTCAATGCAGATAGTCCTTGTAGCCGTTTTGTTAGCTATTTAGCAGTCTTATGGCTTGGGGATAGAAGCTGTTCAGGAGCCTGTTGGTGTCAGACTTGATGCTCCGGTACAGCTTGCCGTTCGGAAGCAGAGAGAACAGTCTATGGCTTGAGTGGCTGAAATCTTTAACAATTTTCTGGGCCTTTCTTTCACACCGCCTGATATAGAGGTCCTGGATGGCAGGGAGCTCGGCCCCAGTGATGTACTAGGCTGTCCGCACCACCCTCTGTAGCGCCATGCGATCGAGACCGGTGCAGTTGCCGTAACAAGCAGTGATGCAGCCAGTCAAGATGCTCTCAATGGTGTAGCTGTAGAACTTCTTGAGGATTTGAGTAGACCCTTGATAAAGTATAATTTGACAGGAGTGGTCATCAGATGAAAAAAGAAGCCTGCATTCTTTAACCACCAGCTGTAGATATTATGCATCACTGATATAGCCTAGCTATGTAGGCCTACTACTACTGAAATGCCATGCCAGGAATATTGTAGTACAGTTTACATTGGCGCCAGTGAACTCCTCCCCTTCTGCAGAGCCAGGAAGATCCCCTCTTCCTGCGGTCGGTTGGAGACTGTGACAGCCAAGGCATTGTCTCGCGCATTGGGTTACAGAAAAAACGGGACGGAGCAAACACTACAACCAACAGCTGAAACGCTAGACCAGGAATATATCGCAATTAAATTGGAATCAGACGATTTTAAAGACATGGGTAACAGAGATGATGAATACGATTTCTTGTTCAAAGGTAAACTAACTGTCATCTTGTTTTACCCATCTAGCTGTAGCTAGCTGCCTCTTGTGGTAGCTACAACAGATATGATTTGTCTGATTTGGTCAATTATGAGGGTACCGTTAGAGGAAGCTCACACAATGTATTTTATTATAACAGATTGTTTTAGAATGTCCAGATAGATTTAGCAAGCCTCCATCTGATCTGGTGGCTTGCTAAATATTATTATTTGTTTGTCGCATTGTGTTGAGAAATGCACAGCTCTAACTTGGCTAACGACAGAGGTTTTCTCAGGTCTCATTCCTTTATAACACCATCATCCTCAAAGGTGCTGGCCAGCAACATGCAGATTAAAAAAAATACAAATCATAGCTAGGATTCGTTTCACAAGTGTACCAAAGGTCAAACCTGAAATTGGTGATTCATTCAGTAATTTTGTATTTGTTGTATATGTTACTTATAGGTAATACCCATAAAGAATATACCTAGTAGAAATACTCGAATTTGTTCTGTTTATTCATCCCATAAACAGTTTGCTTACATTATAATGTGACTGACAGTATGAGATGAAGCTTAACATGACCATCCCTGATAATAGACTGCCCATTTCATTGTATCAGATAAGAATGGGATAATGAGCAGGAAGGAAGTCCCCAGTGATATAGCACAAGAAAGCACATTTGTCAAAATCTTACAGATACCCATTTATTACCCTACTGATGAGCTTCTGTTAGATGTTTCAAAATCAATCCCACAGAAGCACACCACACCACACCCGTTACCAATCTAGTGTAGTATACAGCAATCTTCCAAATGATACATTCCAAATGACACTTAAAACATGATGATAGAAAATGTGATAAAAGGGACAGGGTGAGAACAGAGGATTTCCAAGTGATTCAGAGGGTGAATCACGGGAGAAGACAGGAAAGGAAAAGAGGCCCTCTGAAAAGTGTCAACTCAGGTTTCCCATTAAGAGCAGGTTCTCAGCTTCCTGCAGCATGACTTCAGAAGGACAAAGTTCAGATCATTTTCCTCCGCTGAAGAGGCAGAACAGCACTTTGTACTCATATAACCACTTTATTTCTGTTAAGAATGCTTTTCTGTTGTTTCAGTCATCTTGGCAATGCCATGCAAACAGCAGTATTCAATCAATGAAAATATTGTCTTTCCAAAGCATTCAAATAATATGCCATTTAGCAGACGCTTTTATCCAAAGCGACTTACAGTCATGTGTGCATACATTTTTACGTATGGGTGGTCCCGGGGATCGAACCCACTACCCTGGCGTTACAAGCACCATGCTCTACCAATTGAGCTACAGAGGACCTTCAAAGTCAGACATGCACAGATCCATTAGATTATGAACATTTTCATAAGCAATCCACTTGATCTACCTGTAATTGGTTTATTGTATATGATCTGTTATGTGGTCTAACATTTTCCACTGTACTGAACTGAACATACAGCAGCAGCCTGTCATTGCAGTGCTAATGTTGTCTGTGTGTTTTGTTGCCAGTGGTGCTGATCGGAGACTCTGGTGTAGGGAAGAGTAACCTGCTGTCCCGTTTCACACGGAATGAGTTCAACCTGGAGAGCAAAAGCACCATCGGTGTGGAATTCGCCACCCGCAGCATCCAGGTGGACGGCAAGACGATAAAGGCCCAGATCTGGGATACAGCTGGACAGGAGCGCTACAGAGCCATCACTTCAGCGTGAGTGGAGGAGGGTGCTCACTGCTCAATAATGTTAAGGATACTCATCTTCCTGTAACCTGCCCTTTATGGAACTAGCATATTTTGATAGTACTGCAACCATTCTGTGAAATCTTTCTCTATCTTAGTCTCACAACCTTTGACCTCCTATCCCTGCTCTGTCCCAATCAGGTACTACCGGGGGGCGGTGGGGGCTCTCCTAGTGTACGACATTGCCAAGCATCTGACCTATGAAAACGTGGAGCGCTGGCTGAAGGAGCTGAGGGATCATGCTGATAACAACATCGTCATCATGCTGGTGGGCAACAAGAGTGACCTGCGCCACCTCAGGGCAGTGCCCACAGACGAGGCTCGCGCCTTCGCAGGTAAACAACAAAAACACAGGAGTAGATGACAGCTCACTCCGGGGACAAAGATGGTTAAGAAGACATCCCTGTTTGTCTCAACTCAATCTTTTCTCTTTTTCTCCCTCAGAAAAGAATACGCTATCATTTATTGAGACATCGGCTTTGGACTCCACTAATGTAGAAGAGGCGTTCAAGAACATCCTCACAGGTAAGAAGAGGGAGCCACGACACACCTCACATTACTGGAAACTAACTAGTCTATAAGGTATGTATTATTGGCACATTTTATTTTCAGTTACTGTCTCGTCCTTTTCCTCCAGAAATCCACCGAATCGTATCACAGAAGCAGATAGCTGACAGATCAGCACATGACGAGTCTCCAGGCAACAATGTAGTTGACATCAGTGTCCCCCCCACCACCGATGGGCAGAAAAACAAACTGCAGTGCTGCCAAAGCCTGTGACCCTCACCACTCCTCTGACCCCCTTTCCCCAACCCCCCATCCACTTCCACCGTCACACTGTCTTATCCTGTACGGCCCATTCTGTCTTTGTTACCATATATGGCGACGCCCTGCTCTCCCCTCCCTCCCTGTATACAAAACTTACTTTTTATTACTTGTGAACTCACGTGCTCTTCTGCCATGAAGTGAAACATAAAAAAGCCTTTCTGTCACTTTGTCAGTCATTCATGGATTCAACGTTGAGGTTCCTGCAGTGTAGCAACAGGGCAGTTGTCTGTGAAATGAGATGAGCTGTACTTGAAGTGCTGTATTATGTTGGACTCTGAGATTTGAACAATGACCACTAGACGGTGCTGTGTATATAGCCACTCACAGTTTCTCTTGAATAAGGCAGTATTAATACATTGGTATATGCATTTCGTTAGTTATCATGCCAGAAATGACCTATTCAAATTTATTTGGCTCACCTTTTCATTGTTTTATTTTCAATAAGCACTGTAAGACTTTACAATAAACGAATTGACAAAGTAATACGTAAGTCATTCATTTATCTTTAACATATCAACCCTTATCAGTGCGCTGTACAGTATTGGAATTCAAAATGCTCAACTTTAGATGTATGTGGGTAGAATATGTGAGCTATCTTGTCCTGTGTGTCTGTCTGTCTTTATGGAGGCTTGCTGTTGTAGAGGCAGGGGTCTACAGGAGGTTGTTTACGTTTCCTCCAGGCCCAGTCCTGTTCCTCTGACAGTGCCACACCCCATTAGAGCTAGCCGAATGGTGTCAAACATGGTGCAACAGCAGCATATGAAAAATATTAGACCCGTATTTATTCTAAGCCTCTTATAGGCCTATTTACCAGGCATTGGGTGGGATTGGGACATTCTTTAGGTCCAGGAACTAACTGTTCACAGGGATTCAATTCAGAATTTCCCATCAGTTGTTGACCTTTGAGTAAGCCAGTGGTGGAAAACAGAATTGAATTATCGAATGACATGACCCGCTCATCTTTGGTGGCCTATTTTTGGAGGATGGATTTTTTTTTTTTTAAACGAGCCTTATCTTAAATGGAGATGAGTTTTATATACTGAACAAAAATATAAATGCAACATGCAACAATTTCTACGATTTTACTGAGTTACAGTTCATATAAGGAAATCAGTCAATTGAAATAAATTCATTAGGCCCTAATCTATGGATTTCACATGACTGGGCAGAAGCGCAGCCATGGGTTGGCCGTGAGGGCATAGGCCCACCCACTGGGGAGCCAAGCCAAGCCAATTACAGACAGAAATACTCCTCAGTTTCATCAGCTGTCCGGGTGGCTGGTCTCAGATGATCCCGCAGGTGAAGAAGCCGAATGTGGAGGTCCTGGGCTGGCGTGGTTACACGTGGTCTGCGGTTGTGAGGCCGGTTGGACGTACTGCAAAATTCTCTAAAACGACATTGGAGGCGGCTTATGGTAGAGAAATTAACATTAGATTCTCTGGCAACAGCTCTGGTGGACATTCCTGCAGTCAGCATGCCAATTGCACGCTCCCTCAAAACAGGAGACATCTGTGGCATTGTGTTGTGTGACAGAACTGCACATTTTAGAGTGGCCTTTTATTGTCCCCAGCACAAGGTGCACCTGTGTAATGATCATGCTGTTTAATCAGCTTCTTGCTATGCCACACCTGTCAGATGGATTGATTATCTTGGCAAAGGAGAAATGCTCACTAACAGGGATGTAAACAAATGTGTACATTTGAGAGAAATAAGCTTTTTGTGCGTATGGAAAATGTCAGGGATCTTTTATTTCAGTTCATGAAACATGGGACCAACACTTTACATGTTGCATTTATATATTTGTTCAGTATAAGTTGAGAATGTGACCAGAAAGTGAACATTATATTTTAAGACGTGACATGGGACATTTTGTTGATATGTTGACCCTCTTGTTGAACTGTGAGTGACTGGAAACCAGAGCACGGATACCAAACAAAAAGTGCAAAACCCCTGGAGAGAAACCTCTGGACTAAAACCAAATAATGTGACCTTTAGAAAAGTTCATGTGATCCAGAAAGATGACAGTTCAACCAACATTTTGTAAACAATTTTATTTTGGACTGAATGTGTTAACTGATGCAGATAACCATAAAGTCTGAAATAACATCAAATAAGAGGCCTGTGTAGTATATGCAAGTGTCTGCATCATTAAGAAGACAAAGGAGTCATTGATGTTTATCCATTCTGTAGCTTCATTTTTTATTTGCTTTGCACACTTTTCTTGGCTGATTGCAAGCACCAACATATTTTGGTGAAGACATCTTTCTTTTCACACTGCACAACATAAACACTATAGTATTTCAAAACATGTTTAAGATTGATAAAAATCCTGTGCCTAATCAATAATTGAAACAAATTACAAATGATACACATGAATATATTAAAAACGGTGGTAAAATTAATATGAGATTCAAACATTAACAAACAAAAACAAGTATGTTGTTCCTTTTACACATGAGCATGACAATGCCCTGGACCCTTTGTTTCATCTTCAAATCAAAAACAAAATCAGAGGAGCAATATCCGAACACCAGAAACTGGGAAAATATCAGTAACACTTTTAAATCCCTTTCAAAGTCTGTATTAGGAGATCATATAAACAACCACACTGAATTCATTTCCATTATAGTTTTGTGAAAGTGCCATTTGATATACCGGTATAAAACACAAGAAACAATGCTTCTTTGGAGAGAAGGAACTGTTTGAGTTAGCGGTTATAACACTGGAGTATAATAAGGCAAGTCTCTGAGCTGCCTTCACTGGGAGCAGTGATGCATTGTAGGCAACTCACAGACTCGCATAGCAAAATCAAACATCCTATCGTAGCCCTCTCAGCCCGCACAAGTGAGCGAACTGCTATGATCCTTCATATGCACTTCCTTCTACATTATCTTTCTGATTTCATTACGTATTGTTAAGGTTATAGGTAAGAATTGCATTGTAAAGTTATCAAATTGCACACGTGCTGTAACTACACCCTACATTGCAAAGTCTCCATAGCTCCCAACACGTCAGCTGGAGGTGAACTCACCAATCAGAGACCGCATGTGACACGGGCAGTGGCCCATCGCTGACAACGCAGATAAGAACTCTTTCCATGCTGAAAGATCCTCAACACTGTTCCACTCCACACATACAGGAAAATAACCTCATACTAAGCTCTAGTATTACTATTACACAACATTATCTACCCTTTAACAACATCAACAATTATTTCCAGGCGAGGATTCCTTTAGAGTGACAATCGCCACTTTACAAATAAAAAAAAATGTCTATCCATTTTCAGAATGGGTCTCCCAACAGGACACTACACTGAACTGGTTCTGACTATTGTCCATCTATGCTGAGGATGACTTCCTATTTTGTTTACTGGAGATCACCATTTTCTTCAAGTTTAAGCTGATTTCAGAATGCCACTCCCACAACCAGGGTTCTCACAGCTGCATAAATAAACCTTTATAGTGCATAGCTGTTCCACTGCAAAGCCCTTCAGGTTATCAACCCTCAGGTACCGGAAGAGTTTAACCTGCACCTACAGATGAACAATATACAGGAGCATGATTGCTATGAAGGGATTAAAACAAATTCTACTATCATAGACATAAATGAGCAACAAATCTAGGCCTAGGTTTTTGGCTTCTGTGCACCATAACGTGAGTTTTCCCTACTGAGGAGGATATTTGCATTAATCCTCTTCTCTTTAGGCCTGTTAATAGCTTTTAAGATTCAGGGTCAATACTTTTACGTTCAACCAAGGACACTATGATTAACAATACGTATACAAATATGTAGAAATGAAGCTTTGCTAAGACAGTGGGACATCTGAAAGGACCATACAGTGTACATGGAAGAAAACAAATGCACAAAACCCACACAAAGAGCTATGTTGTTTTTGCATCGCTCTCTCATCCAGAGGTCACCTCATATGTTTTAAAGCTGTGGTAGATGGATAACAACAAAACCCATAACGGTCTAGAACCAGACACTGGCTTCTACTGTCAAGGTACAGTCTAAGTCTATAGATACGTCTGAGTGTAGACGTCAGAGTCTGGTCGACTGCATATCAGAGGGAATACAACTGCTACAAAACCTGCAGTAACATCAACCAACCAATCTATGCTCTTGCTGCATGTGACTACTAGCTATTGTTACGTGACTACACAAAAAGAAACACACCAATACAAAAAACACACTAACTAAAAGCTTTTCATTGGACTCTCGTCATAGTAGAGTACTGTACTATTGATTTCCTGTAAGTCTGTACTTGACCTTCCGATACTGGAAAGGTCAGCCTTACTTTCCATCAACCACAAAAAGTTTGAACTTCATGTTTGTGGAATATACTTTTCCATAAAGTATTTTTTCATCAGTGGCGTCTAGACCTACATAGGTCAGCTCACTCTATTTGGACAGTTTTCATTAAGTGCTGATAGTAGGAGACCTCTCTATACTCCTAGGGAGGAAACCCTGATCAACATACAAACTAGCAACACTAGATCAATGGAAGCTCAACCAACCTCTCTTACAATCCCCCAAAGTAATAAACGAAACAATATTTTTCCCCCCAAAAAGAAAAAAGAAACAGTGCATCGCATGCATAACTGTGCGTGTTGGGAGCAGTCTCGTCACATACTGTGAGAGCACTCGCATCCACTGTGTTTTATTGCACAATCTCGATCTTCACGAACAACATTCCTGCTCAGACCAAGGTGAAAACAGATGGAGTTAAATTGAAGGGAGTCAACTGAATTGCGTATAAAATATCATGAGCATCTATAATCCCCTAGTGGAATAGCCTGTGGCTGGTGAACAGGAGTCAAAGCTTCTCACTTCTGCGCTCAGTGATTAGGGAATCAACCGCTGGATGAATCGCCTTAGATCAGCATCAACGATCCATGCTACACTTTTATAGTCGGTTGTGGAGAACTGAAAATAAAAAAGAGTAAATGTTCACTTAAACGCTAGGGTTTGTTTTTAAAGCTTCAGCAGCCATCTCCACTGAGGATCTGTCCAATCCTTTGTCGTCTCTTTGCAGGGCCCAGTGGAGTACCATCCAATCAACTGCCCTTTTCCAAACCTTCACAAGCACCATACCGCACGGTACTCAATGACCTCTAACATACTGGTTTCTTTACCAGATCAATATAACACCATTAGAGGCTAACACGACTTAATAAAAAAGAGAGGTGGAAAATGAAGTGCTGATGATGATGATACACGTAGGTGAAAAGGATTTAAACAGAAAAAGAAAATAATATTCATCCACAAGTACTTGGGCTCTGGTTGGAGACTTGTTTTTTTGCCGCAAACCTCCAGCACACGAAGAAGAACACCAACTTCAATCTTCCCACCTTTAACCTCATACTATGGTCTCATCAGCTGTCTTTTTCAGCAGCTTCGTGGAGAGCAAGGAATGCTGGCTAGAATGCCCACCCTTCGCGTCTGGAAGGAGCAGGCGTACTTTCTGATTGGTTCGTCTCCATTCAGAGTAGAGCTGACAGTGGTAGCGGAAGGATACCTGCAAGAGAGAAGGGGGTTGGGGAGGAGAGAATATTGATGTTCATCCAAAGCTAAAAACAAACAAACTGGCACACGTAAGGTTTGAAAACTGCTGCCCAAGCACATTCATGAGTTGAAACACATTACAACTGGTTAATACAAAATGGACACGATCAAAGTCCATTACTGTCTTTTAAAGCAAAGTCTTTTTAGAACCAACAGGCATGACGAAAGACTCATAAAAACAAATCATTACGCATCAAATTTAAGTGGGACTGTCTTGGACTGTCTTGTTGTCTCACTAAGTATTTAAAGTGTGATTTGTCAAAGACAGGCTACTAGTTCCCCAACCATGTTATAGCATGAAATAGGATGAAGTTGCTGAGACGCTGATCTAAGGTCAGTTCTAGCCGGTCCTAGATCTGTGGCTACTTACCAGAGTCCAGAGGACGTAAATGGTGAAGAGGGCGATGGTGAGGGCGATGAGGCCCACAGCCTCCAGTCTGCTGTTGAAGTGCAGGTGGTCCTGGGCTCCCCTCAGACACAGCCAGCCAGAGATGGCTGCCAGGGGCGTGATGAACAGGAAGCACAGCATGTCACAGAACAACGTGCGCTTCTCGTTCCGAGGGCCCGGGTCCCGCATCCACTGTGGAGACAGAAGAGAGGGGAGAGAAGAAAGAGAAAGAAAGAAAATGTACTGAGCCTCTGAGTCTATATGAGCACTGAGCATGCACTATAGGCCAAACAGGGGTCACTGGAGGACTCATGCTGCTTTTCTTCTTCTTCAGGGTTTGGTTTGGTTTATTGAGATACGCATTAGTAGATGAAGGGATAAACTTCCTGGGTTCATACATCATTCATTACATGAACACATGATGGTACATTCCAATAAATAACAAAAAAATCCCTAATCCCTCCCTAACTACATTTCTGTTAACATATCCAGGATTTAATACGCATGAGTAATACACAACTAAGTCAACATAGCTTCATGTTGTTGACCCATGAGCAAGGCCAGAAATTCTATATCAACACAGAAGTATTGCAACTACAAGACAATGTTTGCATTGAGTAATCTATGCAAGCAGAAAGAGAAGAAGAAGAAGAGTGAATCATGGTCATGTGTTTTGATACAGCATAAGCAGAACCACACACACATGCACGCCACACACTGCAGGCAGAGGAATGCCGACAAAGGCAAAAGCAAGCAGCAGCAGTCACACACATGCACATAACCGCGCACACACACACACACACACACACACACACACACACACAGAGGCAGGCATAGGAGTGCAGACAAGCTAAAGGCATTGACCTTTGTTACCTCTGTGAGGGACCTGGGCTTGCGCTCAATGGTGAACTCTGTGTGGCATAGCTCACAGTAGCTGGTGTTGGAGGAGGAGAGCCACTTCTCCAGGCAGCTCTTGTGCACCGTGCCCAGAGTCCCTGTGCAGTCGCAGGGGGACAGGAGCCCCTCGCCGTTGGCCCCCTCGTGGCAGATCCGGCAGATTGGCCCATCGCTGGAGGAAACAGAAAGGTCCTGAACAGGGTCCTTAGACTGGGTTTACTTACTACAGCTTGCTGGATATCACTTGGGCTAACCTAACATTTCAGTCTTAACAGCTAAGCTGATTCTCGTAAATTCTGAGGCTAACTGTGAGAGTGAGACATTAACTTTCCGGACACATACTCGCAAACGCTCTCACGAGTTCCAGATACGACTAGGATTACTACTATAACAGCCTGTTGGAAAGCCCTAAACATCTCATAAATGCTTAGCTCTGAAAGTGAGTTTTCAGCCACAGTACCTCAGTGTGCTCACGGGTTTGATGACGGTGGAGAGCAGCCGTCCATCTTTGGCTGTGACCTGGGTGACATACTGCGCTCTGCAGTTATCCGACTCCTCCACGCTTTTGGACAGGGCAGCATTGCCAGTGCAGTCACACAGAGAGCCCGGGAGGTGGCAACACTCCCCCGTCGTCATGGTTATGCCGTCCAGGGGGTCAAGGGTCAGGGGTCAAGGGAATGATGGGGAACAGACTCAGCTCAGAGCAGTTAGGCCCAACAGCTGGAGAGAGATGAGATGGAGTTAGGACCTCATTCACTTTGTACAATACACTACTAGTTACTTCACAGAGCTTATTATGAGACAAATAGTGAGGTTTAAAATATTCTATCATTTTCTTTGACCAACATTAGAACTGAGCTGTATGAGGCCTAAATTATGACAACATGAAATAGGCTCTTAAAATGTTTTCACAACATTGAAAATGTGTATTGTATTAAATATTAGGAAAGAAAATAATGATCTTCTTGTCTGAACTGTAGGCCTATTTGCCCCAAAATCCAGAGTGCAGTTGAGACAATTTGCCAAAACACAACACAGCTACTTCTAAAGTTCAACCTCTGTATGAGCAGCAGGGCACAAGGGAGTGATAAACAGCTGTCTCCTAGATATCCTCACCCAGATAATTGGCTACTCAGACAGAGTTCATATGTCTGTCTGTATGGGATGTCTGGGTCTTATAGCTTCTAGGAAATGTACTGACATGACCAAATGATAGCTTTTGAAAAATAACCATTTAAATGTATACTTTTGATATCACATCTTTGATCAAAGCCACAGCTTGAAGACCATTGCATTCTTATTTGACCCTCAAAATACAATACAGACACCATTATCTTTCCACATAGCAGAATATCAAGATATCAGGGGTGGCTAGACATTCCCTGGTCTCTCCAAAATGAGGATAAACTGTAGACACTAACAGAGTATCATCAAGTCTACCAATCATTATGTGTTGTAACGTTAGATATCAGGAAAAAAAACATATTGATTTGATGGTGATTAATCAGTGGTTACTACAATCAAACATAGTTAGAACGCTAGCTAACTACATCATGCTTGTAGTGTCGAATCCCGACGACGAGAACACACACACAAACTCAAATACAGACACAAAACCCCGACCGAAGAAGGACACAGCTGGATAATTTGGTCAGCTGGCCAGCCAGCTGTGTTTAGTTCTAGCTACCGTAGCTAGTTCAGGAAAGACTAGAAACCATACTGATTGCTACATGACAATGACAACTGATTATGGTTTAATTGTGTTCACAGCAGTATCGTTCATTTATTAAGCTAATGCCTTCTGCTAGGAAAACGGTCTAGTGAGCCAGCTAACTTTATTTTAGCTAGCTAGCTATTTGTTAGCCCGCTAGCTAGTACTGTAGCTAGAACTGTAGCTAGCTAGCCGACCGAGACGATAGAAAAAATGAACAAATTACTCACCGCGTTCCTTCTTTTTTCATTTTAACAGTGGGGTTGCCAATATTTAAAATAGTCCTCTATAGAAACCATAAATGTTGAAAATTGTTTTATTTCCTTTCAGATAGCCAGCTAGCTATGCCAGTTCTCGTCTAGCTGACAGACAACAGTAGGACAGAGTTTCTAAACCCAGAGTCGCAACATCGCGAGACATCCGGGAACGCTTGCGAAACAGACCAAGCATACTCAGGCCGGGGTTTGGGTTTGGAGAAGTCAATGAGCTTGTTCAACATTGCAGGCGACTGCCGACTGACTGATCTACAAATCACTTTGCATTAGAAATAACTACTCATTATTATTTGTAGATCAGCCAGTCAGTCACCATTTTACCCACAATGCATCATGTATTTGATGCTCTCGAACAAGAACAATAGGTCCATGCGATCTGGGATCAATGAGAAGTGAAAATGTCTTCCTTAGTTGTTAGTTTTCTCGAAATCTAAACGCACAACCTATATTCGAGCCAATTTCTTAAGTAGTTGAACATGTTATCATTCCAACCTCGTGAAAGTGACAAACTGACACGTTTTCATTTCCATCAAAAACAACTTTATATTGAAGGAATGCCTTTGATTTGACGTTAGACCCGATGACGTGTTTCTGCGCATGAGTTTAGCTAGCCAAAGTCGCCATGACATCGCCTACAAGTGTGATCCGGGATTTCTATTGGAGAAGCAGTTTATGCCTAACTTCATTATATGTCAGTGATCTTAATACTGTACTGTCTTTGACAGTAGCCTCCTCCTCCACGTACAGACGGCGTTTCCCGATCCGCATAGCTAGTTATCTTGCCTGCCAACAGGCTGGCTACGCTGTTTTTTGTAACTTGGCTGGCATTCTGCTCCCGATTGATAGGATATACAAATGTAAAATATAGAAACCTGATAGAAATACAATATCTCACCCGTTTGAATGTGAAATAAAACAGATTGAGTTACAGGTATTTTTCCATATGTAAAATGTAAATTAACACCAGAAGCAAGCACACATTTTGTTTGGCAATGTATTTATCCACGTTTAATTACTCATTCACAAATTAAGCGACTTATATTTACATAGTGGATTGCACTTAATAAAATAAATGAAATACCCTTATTTTCTTAATGGGATTTTTTTTTTCCTAAAATAAAATAAACTATTCAGAATGACTGAAATTAATGACTGTAAAGGTAATCAGGCATAAAGGGAAAAAATTCAGGAAAAAATTCAGACATTTTATCAAAGTTGCAATTTACTTAATATCTAATGAACACACAATTTTCTGGTGAGCATGTACAGTACTTTGAAGTTAAGTCTTTGAACTTATTCAACTGAGTCTATATTTCATAAGTCTACCATTACATTTCAGTGCACTCTTACATTTTCTGCATTCAATTCTTCAAAATCTGTAAATAAGTCTCACATTGCACTGTAAAGTTGTAATTGAGATATTGGTCCTACTGATAGCAGTTATGTGAACATGTATTTCTGTATCACGCATTCAATGTTAGTTATACTATATAACTAGACCACTAGAAGTTCAGCAGGCCATGTTTCAGCATTATAAGGCTTGAGAGGAAAGTTCTTGATGTTCAAAGAAAATATCTGTCAACAAGTGACATTAATTTGGTTTATTTCATTTCAATGCTCCTTGATGAAATGGCAAATTAACAGATGTATTTATTGATTTAAAAGTTGGACCTGTGACAGAAAATTATGTACAGGCAATTCTACTAGAAAGGGGAGACATAAGGCATTATAGCCAACCATACAAGAGCAACCTTCCTTTCTTAAAATTCCACTGTCAACAACATTTTAGAGGCTTTAATGGTTTGAGTAGAGAGTGAAGCAATGAAAGCATCCTCCACCCTAGATATAGAGTGTTACTGTATATCTGCCTCCTCCCCAAACCAAGCAAGCTAAGTGTTGTGATTTGAAGACGTTAGAGTCCTTCGGAATTAGTTGTTGATTTTACATGGCGAGTTCCATTGAAATGATTGGCAGGACACAAGATGCATATTCACATTTGCTTTCAATTGTAGTCGGACTACTGGATTAGTTCATAGTATAAACTAATTACATAGAGAACACAGTGGCTGCAGCTAACAATAGTGAAACAAAGCGCATGATAAAATTGGGAAAAGTCCAATCTTGACAAATGTGCCTCTGCAAATTTACTGTTTAGATGAGGTTTTAGATTGAAAATGATCACAGCCACACTTTGGCATCTCTGTGAGCCACAGGCTTAACAAAAAAACAACATTTTCAGAAACACTTCATATCAGCCTAAGTCAGTCACTACCCAGGTCTCTGTTCTTTTCTTTCATGCCACACTCAGGACAGGGACCTTGAGGACAGCAGCAAGGCAACCGGAAGCACAGGACAAACTGATCTCTCACCATTCCTTCTACAGGATTGGATCACACAATCAGAGCCTGAACACAAAATAGACAAAAATCCTATCACTTGTTAAAAGACATGAGCTTTGAGGTTAGAAGAGGATAGCGTACAGACGAACAAAGAACATGAGGGAAAAAAAGGGAGAAAGGAATGTTATCTAGAAAGTCAGATTTTCTAGGAGACTTCTAAAACACATGGAGGAATAGAGACAGCAGAAGTACAACACACAGGAGAAAAGAGAGAGGAGTAAGGGGTGGGGGTAGGAAGGTGGTATTGTGGGTCACAGGCTTTGGCAGCACTGCAGTTTGTTTTTCTGCCCATCGGTGGTGGGGGGGACACTGATGTCTACTACATTGTTGCCTGGAGACTCGTCATGTGCTGATCTGTCAGCTATCTGCTTCTGTGATACAATTCGGTGGATTTCTGTGGAGAGAAAAATCAGGTGCCTTAATACAGCAGCAATTCCATTCAAGTGTAAGAAATCAAACAATTTGACTTGAAACTAACTAATGTAAATAGTCTTGTATAGTGGCCCCTGTCTATTACCTGTGAGGATGTTCTTGAACGCCTCTTCTACATTAGTGGAGTCCAAAGCCGATGTCTCAATAAATGATAGCGTATTCTTTTCTGAGGGATAAAAAGAGATAAGATTGAGTTGAGACAAACAGGGATGTCTTCTTAACCATCTTTGTCCCCGGAGTGAGCTGTCATCTACTCCTGTGTTTTTGTTGTTTACCTGCGAAGGCGCGAGCCTCGTCTGTGGGCACTGCCCTGAGGTGGCGCAGGTCACTCTTGTTGCCCACCAGCATGATGACGATGTTGTTATCAGCATGATCCCTCAGCTCCTTCAGCCAGCGCTCCACGTTTTCATAGGTCAGATGCTTGGCAATGTCGTACACTAGGAGAGCCCCCACCGCTCCCCGGTAGTACCTGATTGGGACAGAGCAGGGATAGGAGGTCAAAGGTTGTGAGACTAAGATAGAGAAAGATTTCACAGAATGGTTTCAGTACTATCAAAATATGCTAGTTCTATAAAGGGCAGGTTACAGGAAGATGAGTATCCTTAACATTATTGAGCAGTGAGCACCCTCCTCCACTCACGCTGAAGTGATGGCTCTGTAGCGCTCCTGTCCAGCTGTATCCCAGATCTGGGCCTTTATCGTCTTGCCGTCCACCTGGATGCTGCGGGTGGCGAATTCCACACCGATGGTGCTTTTGCTCTCCAGGTTGAACTCATTCCGTGTGAAACGGGACAGCAGGTTACTCTTCCCTACACCAGAGTCTCCGATCAGCACCACTGGCAAGAAAATAAAGATGACATTAGAACTGTATGAAAATTTATGCACTCTGGATAAGAGCGTCTGCTAAATGACTAAAATGTAAATGTAAACTGCAATGACAGGCTGCTGGGTCACAATGGAAACGATTAGGGTTGAGAGGTGACTAGTACAGAGCTATATTTGTTCAGTATGATTCAACAATGACTAAATTAAGCCCAAATCTACTGAGCACATTTTTCCTGGTAGCTAGTCATTTAACCACTATCATGATAGACAGTCATGATGACTGGTGCTGATACTTAGGGAGGGGTCGAAATTTACAGGATGGTTACCTGGGAGGAAAATGGGGGAGGGTCATGCTTTTTCAATTTCAGTCAAGGGGAGAGTTTCGTTTTCTATCTAGTCCAGGGGAGGGTCATGTAATTTGCAATTGATGAAATTTCAATATTTCTCAATGTTTTAGAATTAGTTGCTTATTAGGCTACAGTGCCTTCGGAAACTAATCACACCCCTTGACTTTTTCCACATTTTGTTACGTTACAGCCTTATTCTAAAATGGATTAAATTGTTCCCCCCCCCCCCTCAATCTACACACAATACCCCATAATGACAAAGCAAAAACTGCTTGATTTTTCTTCTTCTCATTTATTAAAAATAAACAACTGAAATAACACATTTACATAAGTATTCAGACCCTTTCCTCAGTACTTTGTTAAAGCACCTTTGGCAGCGATTACAGCCTCAAGTCTTTTTGGGTATGACCCTACAAGCTTGGCACACCTGTATTTGGGGGGTTCCTCCCATTCTTCTCTGCAGGCTCTGGCTGGGCCACTCAAGGACATTCAGAGACTTGTCCTGAACCACTCCTGCGTTGTCTTGGCTATGTGCTTAGGGTCGTTGTCCTGTTGGAAGGTGAACCTTCACCTCAGTCTGACGTCCTGAGCGCTCTGGAGCAGGTTTTCATCAAGGATCTCTGTACTTTGCTCTGTTCATCTTTCCCTTGATCCTGACTAGTCTCCCAGTCCCTGCCGCTGAAAAACATCCCCACAGCATGATGCTGCCACCACGATGCTTCACCGTAGGGATGGTGCCAGGTTTCCTCCAGACGTGACGCTTGGCATTCAGGCCAAAGAGTTCAATCTTGGTTTCATCAGACCAGAGTTGTTTCTCATGGTCTGAGAGTCCTTTAGGTGCCTCTTGGCAAACTCTAAGCGGGCTGTCATGTGCCTTTTACATTTTACATTTCAGTCATTTAGCAGACACTCTTATCCAGAGCGACTTACAGTTAGTGAGTGCATACATTTTCATACTGGCCCCCCGTGGGAAACGAACCCACAACCCTGGCGTTGCAAGCGCCATGTTCTACCAACTGAGCTACAGGGGACCTGAGGAGTGGCTTCCGTCTGGCCACTCTACCATAAAGACCTCATTGGTGGAGTGCTGCAGAGATGGTTGTCCTTCTGGAAGCTTCTCCCATCTCCACAGAGGAACTCTGGAGCTCTGTCAGAGTGACCATCGGGTTCTTGGTCACCTCCCTGACCAAGGCCCTTCTCCCCCGATTGCTCAGTTTGGCCAGGCGGCCAGACTCTAGGAAGAGTCTCGGTGGTTCCAAACATCTTACATTTAAGAATGATGGAGGCCACTGTGTTCCTGGGGACCTTCAATGCTGCAGAAATGTTTTGGTACCCTTCCCTAGATCTGTGCCTCGATACAATCCTGTCTCTGAGCTCTACGGACAATTCCTTCGACCTCATGGCTTGGTTTTTGCTCTGACATGCACTGTCAACTGTGGGACCTTATATAGAGAGGTGTGTGCCTTTCCAAATCATGTCCAATCAATATAATTTTCCACAGGTGGACTCCAATCAAGTTGTAGAAACATGTCAAGGATTATCAATGGAAACAAGATGCACCTGTGCTTAATTTCGAGTCTCATAGCAAAGGGTCTGAATACTTATGTAAATAAGGTATTTCTGTTTTTATTTGTAATACATTTGCAAAAAAATCTAAAAACCTGTTTTCGCTTTGTCATTATGAGGTATTGTGTGTAGATTGATGAGGAAAACATTACATGTAATCAATTTTAGAGTAAGGCTGTAACGTAACAAAATGTGGAAAAAGTCAAGGGGTCTGAATATTTTCCGAATGCACTGTATATCACAAACCCCCCGAGGTGCCTTATTGCTATTATAAACTGGTTACCAACGTAATTAGAGCAGTAAAAATAAATGGTTTGTCATACCCGTGGTATACGGTCTGTTGTAAACTGGGTGGTTTGAGCCCTGAATGCTGATTGGCTGAAAGCCGTGGTATACCACAGGTATGACAAAACATTTATTTTTACAGCTCTAATTACGTCGGTAACCTGTTTATAATAGCAATAAGGCACCTCTGAGGTTTGTGATATATGGCCAATATACCACGGCTAAGGGCTGTGTCCTAGCACTCCGCATAGTGCAGCGCGTAAGAACAGCCCTTAGCCGTGGTATATTGGACATATACCACACCCCCTCGGGCCACATTGCTTAAATATAGCACTGCTGTCAGCCAATCAGCATTCAGGGCTCGAACCACCCAGTTTATAAAAAAAATATATTCTGCTAATATGTAAAATGATGTAGAACTGCATAATATTTTTATAAATGGCACCTTTTTTTCTCGGACCTGCAAATACGATGATAGATTCAAGCAATGTTTTTACTATAAAATTAATCTTTCCACCCCTACTCATCCATGGTGGTATGCGAACCCACAACCTTCTGGTCCGCAGCCCTGTGCGCTATCAACATTCCTGCGTTGCCATGTAATGCGTACAGGATGACTAACAGTTGCTAAAACTGCATATCTAAGGCTCTGGCCTGTCCAAGAAGTGAGGGTAAACGGTATACATGTTCTCTGCTATCCACTTTGTTGTAATTATTATGTTGGGTATAGGGAAGGGTTTAGCCTTTTCAAGCGTACAGTGAGGGTTTAGCCTAGGTAAAATTAATTTGCTGAAGGGAGGGCCATCCATTTTAATTTTCAGAGGACCGATTTTCTCCATGTAACCCTTACTATAAATAATGTTCACTCCCTTAGGGCAAAGTTATTTGTGAGAGAAAACATTTCATATCTTGGACGCAGATGTTAAGTCAAAATGGTTCTTCATATTTCAGACAAGTGGCGACCAAGCTAGACTAGCAACGTTGTTACAAGTTATGGCTAGCCTAGCAGATTGCCAGTGGCTTTGGCTAACATCACACCAAATATTTATATGTGATCATACCAGCTGATTGTCAGACATTAGCAAACTAGCTAGTTTGCTAGCTAATCTTACAAACGTTTATAACTAGTAAGTAAGCAATTCTTTTCTCCACATTGTCTGAATGTAGCTTACGTTAGCTAGCAACCTAAATGGTGATGAGACGCTTATTAGGCTGCAGATAACTGCTCGTTAGCTAGCTTGCTAACCTGTTAGCAAGCTAGTTTGGCTAACGTGTTAGTTAGCTGGGCACTGGAGACATCTGCGTTGAATTTCAACTACTGAGAAAATAAGTAAATGGTCCCCTAACTACTAAACCTCTGGAGCGCGTCTTACCTTTGAATAGATAGTCATATTCGTCGTCTCGGGTTCCCATTTTGACGATTCCCACTTTATGAAAATATTAAGACTGGCAAAGAGCGCCTCCGGACTCTACCCGCAGAAAAAAATTATCCGAAGGGAATGCGAACATGAGCTGAGGGACAACTGCTTTGACCAATTAGAGGTATATCTCTGTTAATTGATAGATGCATTGACAAATAATACCCTTCACCATGTAATATTGACCAATGGCCATAGGTAGGGGCGTGATCAGATGAAAAAGTCTACATTGTAGAAAATGTGGATTGAGCAATCATTTTTTGCCACCCATGTCAGTATTTCAGTTCATTCATGAACATGATCGCTTAGGAATGTGATCTTATTTATGAAAAGAAAATACAAACGAACAAAAATGGACTAGAACCAATGATTTATTTGCCATGAAATCATTCTTGAAATCATTTTGATTTTATAACAATTCTCAAATTGTCTGGTATTTTTAAATTATGTGGTTTCCCTCAGTTGTAAAGTAATTCAATGGTCCCAAAGAGTCTCGCTGCTGGTGCTATGACGTCCGGAGTAAACCCTTGATATTCCTCTGGAATTCAACTAAGACAAAACAAATTCATACTGCATTCATAATTTACAATAATTTGGTGGAACAAATGCCAGAACAAGGGCAAATATTGGCCTACTTCTGTCATAATGAAGGTCTCTAAGCTTTGGTTGTGTAAATGAAAGCAAAACACCAATGGGATATCAGGCCATATAATTAGCAAAATATTCCTTTCTGTAATTCAATGGTCTCTTTAAACATTTTGTGAATCCTTTTGTCCTATTAAAAAGTTCCATTGTTATGACTGACCTGGAATTGATGACAGGGTGGTGCCTGTCTACAAAGAGGTCAATGGATGTATGTCATCTACATATTCTCTTTGTGATAGCTTAACGTGATTGCTTTTTACCTGACTGGAGGTTCTTCAGTCTTTTTTGGATAGTTAGTAAATGCTGCATGCCTTCAGAATCATTCAACCCACGGTGGGAGCTAGACCCAAGCTTCTTCTCCTGGCCTAAATATTGCCTGTGAAGAAAAGAAGACAAAACCATACATACAGGTCTGTAATGGCACTCAATAATGTAAAATCATAAAACCCCAGAACCTTCTATCCACTCTCCCAGGAGACAGCAAATTGGGAGACAACAAATTGAGCATGAAAAGAAAAGATTTTGGCTTAACTATGAAATCTATGCAGAGATGCGGATTAGATTACCCATAGGGATATGGAGAAGCGGGCCTCGTAGAGAGGTTCCTCTGGGGCACCGTCACAGCAGAAGGGGAAAGGATGGAGGGTGATGCTCCACTTCTCCATGCTCCTGCTCTATATTGGTATCTCTCATCCCCTCCTTCTTCCAGAAGCTGGTGTCTCTGCAAAGAATCTAAACTGTCCACCTGCAGAAAAAAAGGAACATAAAGCCAACAACTTCATCAAATTGCAATAATGATGCAGAAATTCAAGTTTTCTGTAGATTGGGAAACCTCAGCTGTGCTTCTTTATTAAATTCTGCTACTGAGGTAATGTAACAAGTATAGTAGAAATACATTGAAAGTGATTCTTTAGTCTGAGCAACTGTACCGTGAGCAAAATATACCAATGTGTATCGATTGTCCATTATTTACAGTGCATGATTTACAGTCTCACCAGTTTTTCTGCCTTTTTCTCCCATTCCTTACTCTTGTCTAACACCTGCATCCAGTCTTGCCTCCCCGGGTCCTCTCTCCCAGCCTCCTTCTCCAGGACGGAGTGCAGGCTGGTTCTCAGGTGGAAGAACTCCTCCTTCAGGTCACCCTTGCGGGGGGTGAAGTGCTGCAGTCCCTTCTCCTTGCCACAGACCTGGCTGCACCTCAGCAGGTCTGCCTGTAGGTGGCGCTGTACATCCGCCAGGTCCTTCTGACGCATCCTCAGGCTATTCAGAGCAAACCCCCTCTCCTCAGTTTGAGTTCTCAGCTTCTTCCTGATAGAGTGGAGAGAGGGGACATAGGGAGTGAGTAATGTCCAACCATTGGCTAGGGTGACTGTTTATTTGTATCAATAAAGGAAAGTCTGTGTGTGCTTGTGTTTACCTAAGATTCTTGATAGTGTCTTGCAGCTCTTTCTCATATCTAATGGATCTCTCAAGGTCCTTGCTTGCCTTTGACTGCTCCTCCAGCAATTTAGTGTTCAAGGCAGCAACTAATAAAACCAATATAAAATCAGGATTACACAGTTAAAGGGAAACATCTGATATAATCTTAAACATTATTTTTGTGGATTTTCACATTGACGAAGCAAAATTATCACACTCACTCTGGCTGTGCAGCTCGTGCTCTGTTGAAGACAATTTCTTTGCAGCTCTGTTCAGTTTCTGTTGAAGCTGCCCCACCTCCTTCACATGCCCAGACTCAGTCCTGTTCAGTGTATCCTGCAGAATCTCCACCTTCTCCATGGCACTCTCAAGACCCACCTGCAGGTCCTGCACTGTGCTGTGGTGCTTCACCTCAGTGACCCTGAGAGTCTGCATCAAACTCTTGATCCTCTCCTCCTGCTCCTCTTTGCATTTCTCCAGAGACTGCTGCTGGGCCTTGGTTGCCCTGATCCAGCTCTCGCTGACCCCCAGGGCCTCCTGTAAGGACTTGGTCTTCTCCTCTGAAGACCTGAGAGCTTCCTTCAGGGCTGTGGCCTTCTCATCTGTAGCCTTGAGCCAATGTTGTGTCGACTGGAGCTTTTCCTCTGAGGAGTTGAGGCTCTGCTGCAGGGACTGGACTCTCTCCTCCAGGGCCCAATGATTGTGTTGGAGGGATAAGACCTTCTCCTCTGAAGACTTCAGGCTCTGCTGCAGGAGAGAGACCTTTCCCTCAGAACAGCTGAGGGTCTGCTGCAGAGACTTGACCATCTCCTCAAACTTCCAGTTATTGTGCTGAAGGAAATCAACCTTTTTCTCTGAAGCGCTAAGGTTCTGGCTAAGGGACTGGATGTTCTTCTCAAAAGAAGCCAGGTTATGTTGCAGAGTCTGGTTCCTCTCTTGGGAGTCCCCAAGGATTTGCTGCAGACTTTGGCCTCTCTTCTCAGACTCCTCCAGGTCCTGCTGAAGGGACTGGAGCCTATTGTCAGAGAACCGGAGGGTTTTCTGCAGACTCTGAGTCCTTTCATTGGAGCCCATGAGATTGTGCTGCAAGGACAGGACCTGTCCCTCAAACTCCTTGAGTTTCTGCTCCATGGAGTGTAGCTTGCCCTCAGACAGTCTGAGGTTCTGCTGAAGTGTCAACTTGGAGCTCTTATTCTCCTGCTCAGCAGAGTGAAGGGAAAGGTGCAGGCTCTTCATCACAGTCTCATGTCGAGACTTGGCATCTCTGAGCTCCATTTTCAGAGCATCGTTCTCAGAGAGTAGGAATGTTCGGTCGGAAGAGATCAGGTAACTCTGCACGTCATCCTTCAGTCAAACACAGCACAGAGGTTACATGCATGATGGTCACATATGACTATGAAGATGATCCTATAGCCTCACATCAAAAACACAAGAGGGGAAACATTTCTAGAGTACCTACCGAGTTTTTGGTAAAGGCTAATTTCAAAAGGAGCTCTTGGAGGGAGGGGATATGTAAGAGAATATGTCTGTCCTGCTGGTCTTTCCTGTGACAGCTATCCTCCAATGCTGATGACCTAATCACCAATTTACATGCATCTGAACGAATTTGATCCAAAATAGGCTGAGAACGTAAAACATTTTTATTTTTTACAAACATTACTGTATACTAAAGAAAACCATAAACAATTAGTCGTCAAACAGTCATTTGCTACTATGCGTCATCATACCTTCATGTGGGCTTGGACCATGGCCTCTACTTCTTTGTATGACATTTTGGACCTGTCTATTTCATCATGAAGCTGTCTTATTATATCATAATAGGATTCTAGGAAATAAAAGAGTGAATTACCCTACACCTTTAACATTTTTATTTTTTATATGAACTTGTAGAATTGTATCCAAAGGCCCAAATCCAATAGAATGTTAGTTTTACCACTGGGTTGATTTCCCTCATCACTACGAACGCCATTTGCTGGACTTGAGCATCTACTATTGCTTGCATTTGACATTTTGTCTCCAAGACCCTGGAACAAACCAGATACAGCTAAATAAGATATATAAAATAAACATATTTGATAATGAACAAAGTTTTGATGAGAGGACAACAAACCTTGCAAGACAGGTCCTCCCATGTGTGGAGAGTGTTAGTGAAGTCTCCGTTGTCCATCATCATGCCAAAATAGGGCGAATAACCCTATAGCTTGATTAAAATAGTAGACTTCTAATTGTCATTGTTAGACAAATTATCGATGTGCTAGCTAGATTACATTAGCTACATTTTTACAAAATAAAAAAGTTCCAAAATGCGCTAGTGATACAAATCCTAAAATATCACTACTTTTCAAAATGTATGTTGTTCTCCAAGGAAACCTGACGTATGATTCTATCATTCAATTCGATCATTCCCGCCCTCTTTGCTCTGGTTCTTGATCCGAATGTAGCGGTATGAAGACGTAGCCTGGCTGACGCGCGACCCACGTGACTACACAGCGAGCTGTCAGGAACATAGGGCGCCTGAGGTGTATTCATTACGCCAATTCTTTCGTTTGTTGCCAATCGTTCTGCAACAGAAACCGTTTACTCCAAACGGAAAGCGAGAGTTTCTATTGAACATATTCAGGTACGTCGTTCCGCGCTTGGTTCCGTTTACTCTGTTTGCTGCCGTCTGGTTCTACCTATATGTACAGTGCATTCGGAAAGTATTCAGACCCCTTCACTTTTCCCACATTTTGTTACGTTACAGCCTTATTCTAAAATGGATTAAATAATGATTTCCCATCATCAATCTACACACAATTGGGTACTCGGAAGAAAACGAGCTCCGACTGGGAAAACTCTTTTGAACTGTCATCCAACTCAAAATTCCAAGTCGGAAACTCTGGCATCTTTTTAGAGCTCCAACTTTCCGACCTGAAGATCACTGACATTGTGATTTGACCTCGTTTCTTTTCCGAGTTCCCAGTTATCTTGTGCCGCGTTCACATTTTAGTCGAAACAATGAAACTCTGAAATGTTCGACTTGCTAACTGGTTGAACGCGGCACGTGTACAACTACAACCAAATAGCAAGTCAGATATTTCAGAGTTTCCTTGTTCCGACTATCACGTGAATGCGGCATTTAAAGCACCATATTGAAAACGCTTCACCGACAGAAATAGACAAAATTAATGTTGCATTTTGGAACTTTATTAATTTCCCCCCACCTTTTGATTGACATAAATTAAGAGAAGGTCGTACAATTGAATCTCATCCCTGCTATTTGACAGTTGAATTCGGTTGACAATACATTTTAATGTCACTTCCCTCTGATATAGCTCAGTGTTTTAATGAGATGGCTCTTGCACAGGGCATATTTTCTCTATAGAAAACATTCAAGCAAAATACTAACAAAAAAAGACAAACAATCAAAACAAAGATCACGTAGCCACAATATGGGACACACTCGTTTCACGCCACTTCGATACAGCTACAACCGGAAGTGATTTTCATAGCAGGTTAGGAGAGCATGTTCCCTAGACCTAACCCTTTTAATAACATTTACATTTTAGTCATTTAGCAGACGCTCTTATCCAGGGCGACAACATTTCTCGAACCCACAACCCTTGCGTTGCAAGCGCCATGCTCTACCAACTGAGCTACCAACTCCCTTTCTCTCCTTAGCCTAATTATCCTAACCTGCTATGTTAATTCTCCTAACCTGCTGCGTAAATTCTCCTAACTGGCTACGAAAGTCACTTCTGGTTGTAGCTGTATCAAAATATGGGCAGGTAACCGTGCAAACAGCTTTTGAGAACATGTATGACATTTTGTTAGTACAGGGAAATTATGGACCAATGTCAAAATATTTCCTAAGGACCTCATTATATATTTGACATAATAAAAAAACATGATTGATTGCATAACACATTTGAACACTTTCCCTCTGTTGTATTGTATTGTGTTATAGCAGTACTACTTTTCAAAAAGCTGTAGTGTAAACAACAGTCTAGTAGGTATGATCTCCATTTATGGGCCACACTCACCATCATAAATCAGCTCAGATGAGAACTGACTGGTAGACTCAAACCTTTCTGTTTTGATGAGGACCAATCATAGTAGAGTGTTATGAAAAATGGTCTTTGTACCTTCCTCATTCACCAATATTGCTTCAGATAAAATGTCATAAATCAAAATAAAGATATTCTTGAGTACCGTGCCGTGAACATCATGTTGCTATTCTCACCAGTTGAAAATATTGAATTCTACACTACGCAGGTCAATATGCTTCTCTTAAAATGTATCTTCTGTGCGCTTTCTTGCAGGCTAGGGGGAAAAGGCCACACAAAAATCAAGCACAGCACAATTATGTTTTTCACAACATGCACTGAACAGTAGCACAAAAGAGACACATGGAAGGAATTCCCCTGCTTGCAAACATCAGCAATATAGACATGGAAGTCAACAGACATGCACAACTTTGGAAGCATGGACGAATACACTATTTCATAGACATAGAACTGCTTTATTTTGTATTCATTCTCATCGTAAGGGTCCAAACACACACAGACATACAGCCATCTATTTATCCTCATGAATAAATAGATGAATATACACAGATATACATAAATACATATCTCTGATATGCATATTCATTTTGAAACCATGCTATGTCTCTGTAAAGGAGGGCACACAGTGATTTGAAAACATGTACACAAATACAGCTAAACTGTCAGAACAACCCCTACTGATTTGCATGGACAGTAAAACTGACAACTCTTCAGTAACGGATATCATACAAAAAAAACAGCTGTGATTTATAAACCCTAAATAGAGCTGCATCTTGTCAACACCTTGAAGAACATGGTACAGTAAATCATGTGTAGATCTTAATCAAAAAAATAAAAAATAATAATATTCTCCAATTCAAATGGAAAATATATTTATATATCTTTATATATGTATTTATAATTCTATATACACATTTTCAGGCTCACAACTACACTATTGAAAAAATGACTTGAAAATAATAAATACAACAGCACTGCTATGAAAAGAACATTGATATGATACGTTTTAATTTCTCAATAAGGCAATTAAAAGTAACCAAGACTACACCTGTACTGTACAACATACTGCTGCTATGGTCTCTTGATGACATTAACAACAGCAACTGATTACAACTGGCCACTGCACATTATGATAGAATGATCAGTATTTTACAAGTTTTGACATTGACACCTTCCCTCACGCACGCACAGACATACAAACACACCAACTAACTTAAACAGCCAAGTGAGAAACACAAAAAGAGGAATAAAAACATAGAAACATAACTTAAACCTTAGAACATGTCATTCGCATAAAGACTATAACACTAATCCTATGCCAGATGATTGTGATGAAGACGTCACTTTCACATCTGATGATGGTTGACAGGTAAAAGTGCTGTCTGAAAGCAGCCTGAAATCCCTCTCTGATTAACTATTACTAAATAACAGAAGTATTAATTAATTCTGGACATGATATGTGATAGTGTGAGTTATTTAGCCTAAGTAATCAAATCCATTAGCCTAAGTCCCCTCCAGCAGAGCTAACATTCAGTGCCAAAGTTTGACTGCTGAAATGTTGGTATTTCATGATATTACGACAGCTCAATGAATCATTATGCTTAGAAAATGATTTGTTTGCATTTCTCCAGAAGTTGGGCGGAGCTGGAAGACATTGTAATGATGTAGGATTTTGAAATGATTGACAATACCCCACCTTATTTAGTGTTCCAATGATCTGGTTTTGAGGCTAGAAGGCTGTAGCAATACTGTGATAGAAATTACAAAATAAATACATAACAATGAATAAACAAACCTGTAAAAGAATACAGTAGGCTTATGAGATTTACCAAATCATGTTTTCTGAAACAAAGTCTATAGATTCTTTTTCATTTTATGGAAATAAAGTGTTCCCTCTCCAATGGTAAAGTACCATTCATCATAGCGGTAAAGTAACACTTTGATAGCGATTAATATCTTGAAAAACAACATTAAGATTGATACTAGAGCTAAATTTGATGCACACAACATAACTAAATATATTCACAGTATTAAAAAATGGCTGAAAAAGTGCACAAATAAAAAAGATAGAAAAACAACACAAACAAAAGAAAAAACTAAGAAAAAGCACACAATATAAATTAACATATCAATTAAACACATGATATGACCATTTGACTATATCGACATTTGGGAATGTGAGAGGAGTAGCAGAGTTGCCTCAATGACCCTGTTTTTATGGGGCATGCTAGATGTATAGCCTAGCAATTTGAGTTCCTGCTTTTCTTCTGGTATGGCAATTTGGGGTTGGGGTGGGTTGAAAGGAGGGGAATCGATCATACAGTATCATCACCACTGTGACCACGGGATGTCGAGGGGGTTTCCTCCCAGTATTTAGTCTGTTTTGTTTTTGTATCCATGGTTTAAAATACAGGTCTGGACTGGAAAGCTTCTGCTGCCTGCTACTCAGAGGCCCGGGGATCAGTCTGATGGCTCCTCTCTCCACGGAATCATCCTCTCAGCTCTACGGAGGAGTGTTTACTGTTGGTGGAAGGAGAGAGAGGGAGAAAAAAAGAGAGAAGAGAGAAATAGGAGAACGGATAGAAGTTGTAAATCTTCAGAACATAATCATGTCAAGAGTGTAAAATAAAATCGATTCATTCCCCCACAGCACGATATAACTGAGGTATAACTCTTATCAAAGCACATCTATTGATCAAAGGTATATCAATAATTTAAAGGGAAAGTCAGAGGACATACTGAAAATAAGAGGGTAGAAAAAGAGAAAAGTAGTATTTTCCTCTCATATGAACATCCCCTCAACACAACCAAATAATGCAGTTTTCTATGACTGTTTTTACATTTGTTTTCATCTATGCATAGACAAACCCCAGGAGACAGTCTCCTTCCACTAGCCCACAGGCTCTGATTCCACTTATTCCTCTGGCAGCTCCTGTCCCTGGGATAGGTGGAAGTGATGGTTCTCTGTGTGTGTGTGTGTCTCTATGGAGAATAATGGGCCGGGACGGGGGAGTGATTGTTCACTTCATCGACCTGGCCAAGGCTTTCGACTCCGTCAATCACCGCATTCTTATTGGCAGACTAAATAGCCTTGGTTTCTCAAATGACTGCCTCGCCTGGTTCACCAACTACTTCTCAGATAGAGTTCAGTGTGTCAAATCGGAGGGCCTGTTTTCTGGACCTCTTGCAGTCTCTATGGGGGTGCCACAGGGTTCAATTCTTGGGCCGACTCTATTCTCTGTGTATATCAATGATGTCGCTCTTGCTGCTGGTGACTCTCAGATCCACCTCTATGCAGACGACACCATTTTGTATACATCTGGCCCTTCATTGGACACCGTGTTAACAAACCTCCAAACGAGTTTCAATGCCATACAGCACTCCTTCCGTAGCCTCCAACTGCTCGTAAATGCTAGTAAAACTAAATGCATGCTCCTCAATCGAACGCTGCTTGCACCCGCCCGCCCGACTAGAATCACTACTCTCGGCGGGTCTGACTTAGAATATGTGGACAACTACAAATACCTAGGTGTCTGGTTAGACCGTAAACTCTCCTTCCAGACTCACATTAAGCATCTCCAATCCAAAGTTAAATCTAGAATCGGCTTCCTATTTCGCAACAAAGCCTCCTTCACTCATGCTGCCAAACATGCCCTCGTAAAACTGACTATCCTTCCGATCCTTGACTTCGGCGATGTCATTAACATTTATGCGCTCCAGCAGGTATATCTCACTGGTTATCCCCAAAGCCAACACCTCCTTTGGCCGCCATTCCTTCCAGTTCTCTGCTGCCAATGACTGGAACGAACTGCAAAAATCTATGAAGCTGGAGACTCTTATCTCCCTCACTAACTTTAAGCATCAGTTGTCAGAGCAGCTTACGGATCACTGCACCTGTACACAGCCCATCTGTAATTAGCCCACCCAACTACCTCATCCCCATATTGTTATTTATTTTGCTCATTTGCACCCCAGTATCTCTATTTGCACATCATCTTCTGCACAACTATCATTCCAGTGTTAATACTAAATTGTAATTATTTTGCACTATGGCCTATGTATTGCCTTACCTCCATAACTTAGTACATTTGCACACACTGTATATAGATTTTCTATTGTGTTATTGACTGTACGTTTTGTTTATCCCATATTTAACTCTGTGTTGTTGTTGTTTTTATTGCACTGTTTTGCTTTATCTTGGCCAGGTCGCAGTTGTAAATGAGAACTTACTGGCTTACCTGGTTAAATAAAGGTTAAATAAAAAAAATAGAAAAACATAAACTTAACCCTTACCCTTATTTTAAACCTAGGCTAACAATAACCCTAACCTTAGCATGCAGTTGCTTATCAACATATAGTTTGTTGATAGTATAACCATCTGTAGGTCATCTATATGAGACTATCCAAATAAAATGTAACCTGGACCTTAATCATGAAATTTGTCAATGGATTCATATACAGTGGGGAGAACAAGTATTTGATACACTGCTGATTTTGCAGGTTTTCCTACTTACAAAGCATGTAGAGGTCTGTAATTTTTTATCATAGGTACACTTCAACTGTGAGAGACGGAATCTAAAACAAAAATCCAGAAAATCACATTGTATGATTTTTAAGTAATTAAGTTGCATTTTATTGCATGACACAAGTATTTGATCACCTACCAACCAGTAAGAATTCCGGCTCTCACAGACCTGTTAGTTTTTCTTTAAGAAGCCCTCCTGTTCTTCACTCATTACCTGTATTAACTGCACCTGTTTGAACTTGTTACCTGTATAAAAGACACCTGTCCACACACTCAATCAAACAGACTCCAACCTCTCCACAATGGCCAAAACCAGAGAGCTGTGTAAGGACATCAGGGATAAAATTGTAGACCTGCACAAGGCTGGGATGGGCTACAGGACAATAGGCAAGCAGCTTGGTGAGAAGGCAACAACTGTTGGCGCAATTAATAGAAAAGATGACGGTCAATCACCCTCGGTCTGGGGCTCCATGCAAGATCTCACCTTGTGGGGCATCAATGATCATGAGGAAGGTGAGGGATCAGCCCAGAACTACACGGCAGGACCTGGTCAATGACCTGAAGAGAGCTGGGACCACAGTCTCAAAGAAAACCATTAGTAACACACTACGCCGTCATGGATTAAAATCCTGCAGCGCACGCAAGGTCCCCCTGCTCAAGCCAGCGCATGTCCAGGCCCGTCTGAAGTTTGCCAATGACCATCTGGATGATCCAGAGGAGGAATGGGATAAGGTCATGTGGTCTGATGAGACAAAAATAGAGCTTTTTGGTCTAAACTCCACTCGCCGTGTTTGGAGGAAAAAGAAGGATGAGTACAACCCCAAGAACACCATCCCAACCGTGAAGCATGGAGGTGGAAACATCATTCTTTGGGGATGCTTTTCTGCAAAGGGGACAGGACGACTGCACCGTATTGAGGGGAGGATGGATGGGGCCATGTATCGTGAGATCTTGGTCAACAACCTCCTTCCCTCAGTAAGAGCATTGAAGATGGGTCGTGGCTGGGTCTTCCAGCATGACAACGACCCAAAACACACAGCCAGGGCAACTAAGGAGTGGCTCCGTAAGAAGCATCTCAAGGTCCTGGAGTGGCCTAGCCAGTCTCCAGACCTGAACCCAATAGAAAATCTTTGGAGGGAGCTGAAAGTCCGTATTGCCCAGCGACAGCCCCGAGACCTGAAGGATCTAGAGAAGGTCTGTATGGAGGAGTGGGCCAAAATCCCTGCTGCAGTGTGTGCAAACCTGGTTAAGACCTACAGGAAACGTATGATCTCTGTAATTGCAAACAAAGGTGTCTGTACCAAATATTAAGTTCTGCTTTTCTGATGTATCAAATACTTATGTCATGCAATAAAATGCAAATTAATTACTTAAAAATCATACAATGTGATTTTCGTTTTAGATTCCGTCTCTCACAGTTGAAGTGTACCTATGATAAAAAATTACAGACCTCTACATGCTTTGTAAGTAGGAAAACCTGCAGAATCGGCAGTGTATCAAATACTTGTTCTCCCCACTGTATGTACCTTTAAGAACAAAATGATTTCTCATCCATCTCCACCCAACCCTTGCCGGAAACTAGAAGCCTATAATGAAATATGCACGCTTAGCTTTCCAAAGCCATAATAGTAGCTTTAGTAATAAGAGTTTAATTTATAATTTATCTAAAATCTCAATTACAGAACATTCATGGGATTTGGCACCCTGAAAATACCCAGTGAAATAGAAGTCATCAGTAATATAACAGAGTTTGTACCAAGGGATCAATTATGGGGTCTCATAACACGAAGTCGTTTCTGATCATTTGTGCAGAGTGGCTGAAAGAGGACCATCTGAAAGCAATAATGTCATATTATATGGATTTATGAACAAAGAAAACACAGTTATTGGGTTTCAGAGAGGAACTGTACAAATCAAATAAATGTATTGCCATACTTGCCACCACTCATCTGACCAACTGCTTTGTACTGTATGTGTCAAAGCACATGCTTATATGTTGGTCAGTTGTTTCAGAATAAAACAAATGACAATGACAACTGTAGCTGTGTGGGTTTGGGATCTGGTAACGGTGATGCATGAGCCAGGAGGTAGGGTTGCAAAATTCTGGTTACTTTCCCAAAAATCCCTGGTTCTCCAGAAATCCTGGTAGGGAGGCTCCGGATTTCCTGCGTATACCCTTCTGATTCCGGGAATCTTCCAATCGGGATTTCGGGAAAACCTGGGAGTTTTGGGAAAGCTACCAGAATTTTGCAACCCTAGGCGGAGGAGACATGTACCAAGTTGCCAAACCACATGCAGCCAGACAGACCTAGCGGTGTGAAGAAACTGAGCAGCATGCAGTGAGAGCTGGGTGTTGCATGGTGAAGGGAGGGGGAACCAAATGGTCATAACTGGCACCGCCATACTCAGTGGGCATGACGGTCGGGCCGGCCCACACACACTGGTACTGGGAGGTGTAATTCTTACTACTTACTGTCTCGCTCTCCTCCCCTTCCCCATCCGGCAAGGTCTGAGACTCACTGCCGTAGTGCAGAGGGGAGTACACCCAGGTCTTGTCCTCCGGGGGCTGCACAAATGACACAGCAGAGGGCGCCAGAGAGAGGGGGTCATTGGACACAGCACAGAGAGAAGCAGAGGCAGGCAAGAGAGATAGACAGGACAGGAAAACACAAGACAAGGCAGGAAAATAAAATTAGAAATGCAAAAGGAGGAAATGCCAGGACAGAAAGTGTGAGCTTGGAATATAGATTAGCCTAACTGTAGAAATATGAAAATGAAACACTAGCAGTGAAATCCTATTGGAATACAGCCTAGAGCAGGGGTCTCCAATCTTTTCTAGCATGACAGCTACTTAATAAAAACAAAATACATGTTGCGAGCTACATTTTTTTTTATAGCTTTCAAATTGGCACATTATTTTCTTCTACTGTACCCTGCAACTCTTCCCGGGTCCTTGGTGTACAATATGTGTTTTCTGTCAATATACCTGGTCAAATAATGCTTAATAAACAACTCTAAGGGGGCCCTATAAAATTATATTTAGTATTTTCCTGAATTATGTTTTCTCAGTAAACAAATTCCAGGTTTGGGATTGTTTTTTTGTGTGTTTTTTTTACTCTCAGTATTACAATTATTAATAGAAAAACAATTAAAATGGATGTTCTGAGTCCATGTCAATACTTAAAGGCCCAATGCAGCCGTTTTTATATCAATATCACTAATTTCTGGGTAACAATTAAGTACCTTACTGTAATAGATTTCCATTAAAATTGGCAAAAAATAACTTTATAGCAAAAACATTAATCTCAAGCAAGAATTTTGCTAGGACTGTCTGGGAGTGGTCTGAGTTGGGAGGGGAAAACTGAAAACTAGCTGTTATTGACAGAGAGGTTTGGAACTCTTTGTTATTGGTCTATTAACCAGTTTACCGCATGGTCATGTCACCATGGAAAGCCGAAGCTCCCGCCCATGCAAACCTGCTGATTAGAAGGTCCTGTGTAGATTGTATTTTCAACCAGCAACTATGAGGAAATAACACTGATCATGTTTTTCACAATTTTACAGTGTAAGTTTAATCAGATGTTGTACAATATGTTATAAAACACAGGAAAAACTTAACTTTGACTGCACTGTGCCTTTAAATCACACCAGACAATGTAAAAAAAAATAAAGAAAATACAAAATATGATTTTGAGAGTAATTCCACTTTAATCGCGCATCTTGCAAGAGAGGCATTTGTAGGTCTAGGATGTTTCTGCTGTGGCCTACTGCTGCAGAACATGTCATGGCAGAGTTTGCAAAACAATCACCACCCAATTGATACAAATATTCATTATATAGTTCTGTCACGTAATACTACTTTGCAGTTAACATTTCACTGAGAAGGTTTTTTGGAAAAGTCTTTCATCGGTCTACCCATAAGACGGTTATCATTAGCATCGCTAACTGGCTGCATACAGAGTGATAGACAAACGCAGGCACCAAACAGACAGACGGGCAATATTGCTGGAAATTAATTGGCAGATATTGTGTTACGTTTGGGTTTTTAAGCCAATAGTGGCTAACCAGGGGTGATATAATGTCAATGTGGCTTTAATTGGATAGTAGCCGGGAGCTTTATGTTTATGACAGTTTGCATGGAATATGATAAAATGCATGTACTTTCAGAATTGATTGGCGAGCTGCTCATAGGTGGGCTGCGAGCTCGCGATATACCTGTTGGAGACCCCTGGCCTGGAGGTAGACTACATGTGCTAACATATCAACATAGCCTTCAAAAGAATGTTAGTTCTTTCCTGCTGTCACTTTCAAAACTCTTCATTTGTAATGCTGGCTGGTAGGGCTATGTATGTGCCTAATAATTGCTTTCTATGACTATGCTATTTCAAAAAAGCCAAGATGAAGTGGACAGAAAAAATTATGAATCTACAGTATGTATCAGCCAGAAAACAGGGTGGGAGTGGGTGGTTAGTGGTGGGTGGAAAGCGAGGGTGCCAGTACTGCCAACAGCCAAAAGGACATATTCTCCCAAAGCATCTTCCCCCCTTTCTTTCTCAATAAAGAAAAGTGCTCTGTGTGTTGCTTATTATGTGCATTAAGTGTTTAGCCTTGTCAGAGCCTCAGTGCTGCATGGTCTCTGATGCAGTGACCGTGGCGTTGCCCTGTACGGTACTCTCCCTTTAAGAAAGAGCAGCAGCTGCCACACACTGCCTGTGATGACGTAGTTGGAAGCGGCACTGAGGTTTGACGTCACACACACACTCGTCGCTCACACACGCTTATACACACACACACACACCATATGCACACACACGCCACACTCACAGCGCAAGATCTGACACACCTTCCACAGGGAGACCACTCAGGTGGAGAGAGAAAGTGAGAGAGAGAGAGAGAGAGGTGGGAAGACAGGGAGTGGGAGTGAACGAGAGAGACAGATGGCCTCAAATGAGAAGCCAGAGCCCCCTCCTGTAACTCAGCCACTTCCTCCCTTCTTCCTCCTTTCTTGCCCCATCTCTCCCCCTCTCTCTCTCTCTCTACATGGAGTCTTCTCCAGCCGGCCATGATTTGATTCAACATGAAGAGGAACAAACCCCAAGCGGAGGATGAGGTAAATAAATAATATTAACAAAGACATGATATGAAGGCAGAACAAAAAAGGCCATGACCCCTTTTGTTCTAATGAGAGGAAACACATGACATGATTAAATAAAAAAGGTCTAGCACAATATGTAGAGCATATCATGTGTCATGCCCTCTTACACATCAAGTATCCTTTGAGAAAATATGCTCATTAAGGAATATCAGTCCATTATGGATCTTGTCAAATTTCAGAAGATCAAACATTGAGAAGATCAACTGAGGAATCACTACAGTTACAGCACTAAGACTCAAAGTAAGCAGACTGGGGGACTAAGCTACAACAACTCCATTCACAGCTATAGGCCATTGATATCTGTATAAAAAGGTGCTACTAACTGAAGCATTGACTAAGCAGTTAGCAGAGCTACCAGCATGTCCCACAGACTTACACTGCATCTGAGAGCTGGTCTGGAGCTTTCTCCTCCGCAGGACAGGAGAGAACACCCAGGTTCTCCCTGCAAGCTGACAGCACATCCCCACAGAGAGATGGGAGAGACCAGAGAGGGCAGAGGAGAGAGGAGTGAAAGGGATGGAGGGACAGACAAATGACACAAAGATGGAACATGGAGGGAAATTAAAGGTTAAGTATTGAGGTGATAGAAGAGATGATTGCTGGTTTGACTGTGTTATGGTGAAGGGTGATGAAATTAAATGTGAATCAGCCATGATGATGAATAGGTCTGGTGCATTCCTTCACTATCTCACCCCCCCTGAACCAAACGAGTGTGCTCACATACTCCCTTAAAAGACCTTCACTTGAAAAACTAGAAAAAAGCGTCAATAGTACTGTTTGTCCGTTTTGAGACGCTGTTGCCAGTATACACTTCATCAAAATAGTCAGAATTAATCTAATAACTCAAGAAATCTCTCATAGATTTGTACGTTTTTGCCGAAGAGATATTAGTTGCGCAATTGTACATCTAACTAAGATGTTTGTTGCAGTATTTTTAAATTAAAGAATTTGCATGAAAACGAGTCGTCTCTCATAGAATGACAACAGACTTTATTGAAGAATCCCTACTGTTGACCAATCACTGACGAAGGAGCGTAGACTTTGTCTCTGAACTTCGACTTGCCTCCAGAAAAATATTTGTGTGCCCGAACAGCCGAAAATACCCCCACCGAAGTCCAAAACTAACAAAAACGTCACAAAATGTCGTCATAATATATGCACAAACTCTACCGAACCGTTTCGGCTGGGAAGCATGCGGACGCATTGAGCCTCCGTCACAGCGAGAGGGTGAGAGAAGAGAGTGTGAAAGACAGCAATAGAGAAAGGGAGGTGGTGACTGCCAGGGTTGGGCGGTATCCAGATTTTCATATCGTCATACGGTCTTTCTCTCAACCCAGGATTTACATCATTATCGGCTTAGTACACAAGGGGGCGCCAGAAAATGCATAAAATACCATTGGGCGTCTGTTACCAGAAAGTAATAGCGAATTTCCATGGAGGCTGGTTGCTAAATATGCTAACAAGCGCAATCCAAAATAAACAAATTGCAAAGACAGTCAATCCAGCTCATAAAGTTATACATATATAGGTAGGAGCTACCGAATGTCATTTTTGGTGAGTTTGGACATTTACAAGCGAATGTGAACGAGAGACATTGTGCAAATGAAAAATGTTTTGACGCATGCTTGTCTGAAGGAAGAACAATACTTGCTCTGAAGCAGCATGTGTACACGCTGTGTCTGTGTCGAGTCTGGAGTCGCTAGGGCAATGGGCCTGTCTGCTCTGCGAAGATCGTGGAGGAGCAGACGGGCCGAGAACGGAGAGGAGAAAAAACGCAAGGAAATCAAAAGATAGCAGTGGCAGCTGTACAGATAAGTCATCCAAAGGGCTTTGACTTCTCAAACAGAAAGCTTACGCAATTATCTTTAAGCAAAACATTAGGAAATGTAGCTGGCTAACTTCTTTCTATAATAAACATTAGAAAGATGATGGCCATGCATTATTTCTGCAAGAAAAGACCTTGCTTTTTCATTGTAAGCTCATTTCCTTGTGTGGCTGCCAGCCAAATAGCATTGAACTTCTGTTGTCATCTAATTAAAATTAAGCTATTTTCTGCCGAATGTGTCGCACTAATGTATTTTCTTTGAAGGAAAACTATAGTTGCATGTCCCTGATCACTCTATTGAAGTAAAGAAACACTTGACTTTCAATATAAAATGCAACCCCTGTCAATATACAGCTGTACTCCCGCCTTCTCCCGTTGTGCTATTTACAAACAAACACGTGACTGGCTCAACTGTTCTGGGGAACTTTGGTAAGCTTCATAATGTTAAATAATGTGACAAGTGAAATGAAGAATGAGATCTGCTTTATCTCCTATTGCACAAGTTGACTGCAGGTATTTACTTAAAAAGTAGCTACGAATATTAACATCTATTGAAAAACTTCAAAAGAAATGGTTTCAATGGTATTGACGGTATTGAAAAAACCATCCTGTGTCTATTTCCAAATGCCCCAGTATACGGTATATATGGTATACCGCCCAAGCCTAGTGACTGCTAATGATACATTCATAATTCAGGCTGTAGCCACTTAACAGGGGCTTGTGAAGCGCTCCTCGGACATCTTTCCTGCTCTGACTAGAACAATCACTTAAGCCCTCTCTCCAAGAGCTCTCAGAGTAATGTCCGCTCTGTCTCGTAGGACTGGTGCAATATCCCATGAATTGTTTTGGAAGAGTCATCTCTGCTTTTACCAGTCAGGTAGCTTAGTGGTTAAGAGCGTTGTGCCAGTAACCGAAAGGTCGCTGGTTCTAATCCCCGAGCCGACTAGGTGAAAATTCTGCCGATGTGCCCTTGAGCAAGGCACTTAACCCTAATTGCTCTGGATAAGAGCGTCTGCTAAATGACTAAAATGTAAATGTAAATAATAATCTGTTTATTCTACCCAGAAGACAATCATCTGTTTATGCTGTCTACTAGTATTGGCTTCGTATTCATACGACATATGAAGTGACATGGCCATATTGTATACTACAGCCATTTAGAAGCACTCTACAAATAAAATAATGTTCCATTAAAATGTGAAATGACCTAATCTGTGTCTGTTGGCTAAATGTAAATGACGACAGGTGCATACAGAGGCAGGGGTGATATAGTCTCTATTTTCTATGTCTCCTGACCTGAGCTACTGCACATGAAGAGAGAGGCAGAGTAGGTGAAATGGTCATCAGACAACTGAGAGCTCCTAAACAGACAGACAGACCTATTGACCCTCAGGGCCACAGACAGACCTACTGGGCCACAGTGTGAGGTGTTTGATTGCAGGAGAGACTGTCCACCAGTCAAAGGAATGCCAGAGGAGCCTTCCCATTCCAGCCTTCTCATCCCTTATCACCAGAGACTCATCCATAAATACATGGCTCTGGTTCTGAAATCTGTCGTAGAACCTAACATATGGAATTGTTTTAAGATGTTCATACCAAGGATAATTTAGCTATTTGATTTAGAATTTTAGGACCCCTTAAGGTATAAAAAAAAAAATATATAACAATTATTTGATGAAACATTGAATTTGGCCTTGCTGCTATTAGCCCATAGAAACGCATTGAATAACAGCTTCATACATGGATAAACAGATAGTAAAAATTTTTTATCAAAAGGAAGTTTGTTCTAAAGTGTCTGTCCTATTTTTATCTGAGAGATAGATCTTTTGTTTTGGGGCATGTATTTAACCCCTTATTTTAAGCACTAAACTATCTCCATATTTACTTCCATTCATTTTTTTAACTAGTACCTGGCTACCTTTAGACTAGCTTTGTGAGGAATGCAGGCATCCTAGAGCAAAACGTGAGAGACTCACCTTTCCATGGAAGGGTCATATTAGTGTGTAGGCCAAATCGTTAGAGTGCTGCAGACGTTTTCGTGAGAAGACCGATTTTCGGGATGTCTCATGGTCTGACAAACACCGCTCTAGCTCTGCCACCTTTCACCGCAGATGCAAAAAACAGATATCTCTAGCTTAAACTGATGGATTTTGATGGGGATAAAAAAAAAATGCTAATTAGATTTCCACGGGGGCGAAGACATCAACTCTAGGGTTAACCCTTAACCCTCTACAGACTCACCCTCTCTGCCCCCCCTGTAGCTCAGTTGGTAGAGCATGGCGCTTGCAACGCCAGGGTTGTGGGTTCGTTTCCCACGGGGGGCCAGTATGAAAAATGTATGCACTCACTAACTGTAAGTCGCTCTGGATAAGAGTGTCTGCTAAAATAAAAAAATAAAAAAAATAAAGTCCAACTGTCAATGCTTCTGTAGAAAGGCATCCAACTCAGACTCACACACACATACCTTCCCATGACCCAACACTAATAACACACACTCTGACCAGCTGCATTACGGGTGGCAATGAGGAGTTACACACATGGGCAAACAATATATGACAAATCAAAAATGGAAATGATGGCCAATGGAGATTATGTAAGCTATCTGTGTCTAGTTTACCATCTGCTGTTGTCTGTATCATGTTAGTGCAGTATGCCTGCTGACTGACAAACCTAGAAGCTATTTAGTAGCTAGGATACTGTAGTATTTAGCTATTTACCATGTTGTAAGCCTACAAAATGTTTTAAACCGTTTTCTGTTGTGTGCCCTAAGGAATACGACCCAGGTGTGTGTGTGTGTGAGTGTGTGTGTGCTGAGCCAATGAAAGCACAGCTTACAAAGTAGATGTCTGTGATTGGCACGTCATCCTCGTCGTCCTGGGAGGCTTGGCTGGTGCATCCGGACCCAGACACTGTGCTGCCCCGGCGGTCCCGCTCAGCCTCCACCACCACCACTTTGGGACTGGCAGCAGCCTCTGGGCCAGGGGCCTCAGCAGAGGCTTCAGCAGGGGCCCCAGGGGCTGGGGGAGAGGAGGAGGAGGGTGGGGCAGCAGCAGGAGCCTCGGCTACCTCTGGTACCTCACTGAGAGAAGAGACAGACGCACACCTGCTCATACACAACCACAGACGTGATACGACATACTGTACACACCTGCTCTCTAACACACACTCACACCTGCTCTCGCTACTCGCTCTCTCTCTCTCTCACGCACAGGATAGAATAGCTGTACAGACAAATTATCAGGGACACTTCCGATTAAGCCCTTCTAATGATCAAGAACCAGCCCAGACAGGCAGAGCTGAGGCTGAACCACTAGAACAGAAGGAACAGGCACCAGGGTGGTTTGAGAAGACGGCACTAACCAAGACTTACAGTACCAGATGGCATGGTGCCGCGCCACCACAATCCCTCTATTGTCCAGGCCCAGATCATTGACTATTAGGAACGACTTAAGCTTATCCCAGATTGCTTTCTCAGCCTTGTGTGTTTAGAGTTCACGCTGAAAAACCTGGAGCCTGGCGTTCCTAAAGAGCAATGACAGCATCTCAGACTCCGAGACGGACCTGATTGGCTGGGAAGAAGTATTTAATGGGGGGACTTGGTGTTGTGGTTGCCATGCAGCCATGGACCTTGCACTCTTTCTACCTCTCTCTCTCTCTCTCTCTTTTTCTCACCTCCCACTCTCTCCCCCAGAAGGGGAGTCTCTGAGGCTGCTTTGAGGAGCCGGGTCTCCAGATGGCTAATTCCCCAGTATCCCGTCGCCCTGCCGGCCCCCTTCACCCTTCCCCTTCTACCCCATCCAGCCCCCTGAGGCCATTTGTCTGGCCCTGTCTCAGCCTCTCAGCCTTAGCCCCAGACCCTCTAACCTAGTTCCACTGCCTGGCCGCTCCATGACTTTCCCAATGCACTCCTGTCTGTCTGTCTCACCCTTTTACAGTAATTGGTGTCACCCTATTACCCTGTGCCTCTCACCCTACTCCACTCTCTTAACCTAATTAGATTGCTGCTCCAGAGAACATCCGTAGGCAGTGCTTATCTGTCCATAATAAGGGATTTAACAGCATCGCAACAGCCCACAACCACAATAACCAAATGGGACTTAGAGTAAGGTGTAAGGTGGGGATTTAATATCACCGCCACCCTATCAACCAAATGGGAGCATGGCTGCCCCACTTCCCAGAGTGGAGTGTTAGCTAACCAAGGTGTTATCCTGTCGCAGGTGAGACGTTTTCAATGTATGGCTCTGGTTTCAGGGAGTGTGTTGGATGCTGGGTGTGCCGTTCAGTAGAGTTGAGCCTGCCTTTTAAGGGCTTTGTGTGATAAATCTTGGTCTATGTAGAGTAAGGTTGAGGCTGTGTACCTGGTCTCTGGAGAGGGCTGTGGGGCCGTGATGGTGGGCTCGCTGTCGTGTCTCTTCACCTCCACCTCCACCGTGATGGTCTGCTGCTCCTCCTCAAGCACCTCCTCCTGAGTCCTACACACAAACATGCGTAATGTAAGTACACACGCAAACATACATACAGTGAGCTCCAAAAGTTTTGTGAAAGTGACAAATGGTTTGTTGTTTTGGATCTTTACTCCAGCACTTTGAAATTAGACAATGACTATGAGGTTAAAGTGCAGACCATCAGCTTTAACACACACATACACAGGGAATACAACTGAGCGACAGGAAGGGTGGTCACGCACATAAAAACGCAGACCAACAGGCAGATCTGACACACCCTAGCGTAGTAGCCTTCCTCACTGGTCAGAGACAGAATGACTAGCACTGTAAGAACTACCAAGTCCTTTATACAACGGAATAAGTTGTGCATTCATACAGGCCATGCAGGGTAGTGTTCTTACCTCCCGTCATGACTGACAGACTGGGTGTGCCTCCTGCAGAGAAACAGACAGACAGAGAGACCACTGTAAGTTAATGGTGTTATAAGCCAGGGTGGGGTACATAAAATAGGCTCTATAGCTTTGACAGTTCAACACAACCAGTTATTGTTAGTTATTCAGTCATGAACATGGTATAACCATTATATTATACATCTTGACTTGTTTTCTTCTTCTTGTTTTTTATTTTCTTCTCATGAAAAGGACATGCTCCACATGTGTCATGAATACATGCTCCATAAATAGGACATTGTGTCCATAGCTGTACCTTCTCTCAGAGCTGTTGTTCTGGTACCTGTAGCGGGGGTGCTCTGCTCCAGCGTCTGAGGGAGACCTCTCTGGGATGGACAGAGAGGTGGTGGAGGAGAGCGTTGTGGCGATGGAGGCTGTGGTCGCCTCCTCAAATGACGGAGGGGTGCAGGGGAGGAGGTCTGGTCGCCCTGAGAGAAAGAGAGAGGGAGAGAGAGAGCGAGAGAGAGAATCAGAACAGGTTGTCAAAACACCTGCATCCAGTCTCCGTTAACAGCTAGGATAAAATGATAGCGCTGTGTGAAGGTGGAGTGTGTGAATGTGACGGTGGGGGTGTTTGCATGATCTAGTACCCCCTACCCTCGTCCTCCAGTGTGGGGAAGCTGCGTGCTCCTCTCAGGTCGTAGATGTTGTCATCTCTCTCCGAGGGCAGCTGGCTGGCTGACCAGGCGGCCCCAGGGCCAGTGTACTTAGGCACCGTCAGGCCCACACGGCCCTTCTTAATGGGAGAAGACTTCAAGGCTGGGGAACACACACAGAGGAATAACATCACTTACATCTTCTTATTACCAAAGGGAACACTGTACTAAGTGTGTGTTTGAGTGTTCAATATCTTCTATCTTTTCTAATCCCTCCCAGTACAAAATACATAAGAGGATTTGCAGTTCAAGTGAAAAAGTACATCCATTCAAAAGACATCAAGTTAAAGACATCAAGTTAAAAGCCAACAGCAACCTTCAAGCATAACAATAAGTGAATTTAGCAGGTCTTTGATTTTCTCAGACAGCTTGAGGCAGTGGAAGCGGTGTGTCTGTCAGTCTGACTGACTGGTAGTCTAGTCTAGTCTGGTCAGGTCTACTCACAGGAGCTCTTCTTGAACACAGTGCTGCTCATAAATTTGAAGAACCTGTCTGCATAGAAGCCTGGCCGATGGACTGATACGGTGTCCTGAGAGAGAGAGAGAGAGAGAGAGAGAGAGAGAGAGAGAGAGAGAGAGAGAGAGAGAGAGAGAGAGAGAGAGAGAGAGAGAGAGAGAGAGAGAGAGAGAGAAAGAAAGAAAGATGGAGAGAGGCAGAGAAAAGGGTATGAGGAGAGAAAGACAAAGCGAACGAGAGAGAGGTAGAGAGAGCGAGAGAGAGAGAGATAGAGGGAGAGTATGAATCCTCTCTCTCTAGAGTAGGCCAGAAGAAAACAACACTTCCTCATCCCATCCTATTATTCAGAGGTAGACAATGAGAGCATCACTGCAGCTGAATAAATCCCGATGTGCGTATGTGTTAGATGTGTTAACCCTGAGAATATAAGGCCCTTCATCATTCAGTCATTATGCTGGTTTCACAACACGTCACAGAGACAGGGTGAGAACCTAAGGTGATGTACACCAGGCTTGTTAGACAAGAGAGGGTGAGGGAGAAATAAGCAAGAAAGAAAGAAAGAAAGAAAGAGAGAGAGAAAGAGAGAGAGAAAGAGAGAGAGAGAGAAAGAGAGAGAGAGAGAGAGAGAGAGAGAGAGAGAGAGAGAGAGAGAGAGAGAGAGAGAGAGAGAGAGAGAGAGAGAGAGAGAGAGTGAGAGAGAGTGAGAGACTGTCGTTCTATATTAGGAGCATCCTGAAGCTGATGTCTGAGAGGAAAGGGGGGAGTCTGAGGTGTTTGAGGTCACAGCCACAGGATATGTTAGTGATGGAGATGTGGAGAGGGGGAAAGAGGAAGAGATGAGGAGGGGGCTCTTACTGGGTCGCTGAGTACATGTGTATTGGACAGATTCAATTAGGAGGCTACACACACTACTTAGACAAATGGCCAGAAGGACCTGCACTTATACACAAGGCCAAACACACACAAAGGGCTACCCTGCTTCTCCACAATAGCTCAACCTGTCTGTATTTATTTTTTATTTTACCTTTATTTAACTAGGCAAGTCAGTTAAGAACAAATTATTATTTACAATGACGGCCTATACTGGCCAAACCCGGACGACGCTGGGCCAATTGTGCGCCGCCCTATGGGACTCCCGATCACGGCCGGTTGTGATACAGCCTGGGGGTCTGTATTGACGCCTCAAGCACTGTGATGCAGTGCCTTAGACCGCTGCGCCACTCGGGAGGCCGTATAGCTGTGACTTCATCAATAAATGCATGAGGGAAAAGAATGGCAGTTACCACACGGTCTGGGTATAGCATACTCCCAGACAGAGAGAGGGGGGAATAGACAAACGCTGGCTTGGTGTTCAATGATTAAAACACACACAACTGGTTACACAGCTGTCTGCCTGGGAAGGGCTGGAGTAAGGAAGGCTGTCTGTCCATAAAAAGGACTAGGGGCCAGGAGTTTTTCCTCAACACATGACCTGAGCAGGAAAAACTCTGGGCTCTACTCGTAGGTCACATGATCAGGAAACCCTTGACCCCTAAACATAACCAAAGAAAACCTCAACCAGTCACAAGACTTGGCAATAGAATAACTCATAAGAAGAAAACATAGTATGACATAACCCATAAGCCAGAGAAGAAACGGATTTTAGAAATGATTATGTTCATAAAGAGATCAGATATGATTACAGAGCCCACCCAGACTGTAATAGGAAATACAAATAAAGAAGGATTATATAATGAACGTGAAACTCACCCCATCGTGAACCATAGCTTTCCATGTGTGCTCCAGTTTCTTTATTAGCCTGGAACCGTAAAGAAATAACACTCAAACGTTTGGTATTAAAGTCACAGAGACAAATATAAAAAGCGTCAGCCATCCATGCTACAGGCTGTTGTTTTATACACTGATGGAGGCTGAATATGTTGTTCATCTTATGAAGCTGGGAGGCTGGTTCTACATGACAGAGAGTGACTGAATGAGTTCTAATTTATACTGAACAAAAATATAAACACAACATGCAACAATTCCAAAGATTTTACTGAGTTACAGTTCATATAAGGAAATCAGTCAATTGAAACGTATTCATTAGGCCCAAATCTATGGATTTCACATAACTGTGAATACAGATATGCATCTGTTAATCACAGATACCTTAAAAAGAAAGGTAGGGGCGTGGATCAGAAAACCAGTCAGTATCTCGTGTGACCACCATTTGCCTCATGCAGCGTGACACATCTCCTTCGCATAGAGTTGATCAGGCTGTTGATTGTGGCCTGTGGAATGTTGTCCCACTCCTCTTCAATGGCTGTGCAAAGTTGCTGGATATTGGCGGGAACTGGAACAGGCTGTCGTACACATTGATCCAGAGCATCCCAAACATGCTCAATGGGTGACATGTCTGGTGAGTATGCAGGCCATGGAAGAACTGGGACATTTTCAGTTTCCAGGAATTGTGTACAGATCCTTGCGACATGGGGCTGTGCAGTATCATGCTGAAACATGAGGTGATGGCGGCAGATGACTGGCACGACAATGGGCCTCAGGATCTCGTCACGGTATCTCTGTGCATTCAAATTGCCATCAATAAAATGCAATTGTGTTCGTTGTCTGTAGCTTATGCCTTCCCATACCATAACCCCACCACCACCACCATGGGGCACTCTGTTCACAACATTGACATCAGCAAACTGCTCACCCACACAACAACATGCACGTGGTCTGCGGTTGTGAGGCCGGTTGGATGCACTGCCGAATTCTCTAAAACGACATTGGAGGCGGCTTATGGTAGAGAAATGAACATTCAGTTATCTGGCAACAACCCTGGTGGACATTCCTGCAGTCAGCATGCCAATTTCACGCTCCCTCAAAACTTGAGACATCTGTGGGATTGTGTTGTGTGACAAAACTGCACATTTTAGAGTGGTCTTTTATTGTCCCCAGCACAAGGTGCACCTGTGTAATGATCAGGCTGTTTAATCAGCTTCTTGCTATGCCACACCTGTCAGGTGGATGGATTATCTTGGCAAAGGAGAAATGCTCACTAACAGGAATGTAAACAAATTTGTGCACAACATTTGAGAGAAATAAGCTTTTTGTGCGTATGGAACATTTCTGGGATCTTTTATTTCCGCTCATGCAACATGGGACAAACACTTTACATGTTGCGTTTATATTTTTGTTCAGTGTAGTTACCTGGGTCACATTCATTAGGCCCCAAACTGAAGTAAATAGAGGGACTATCTGAACTTCTCCAATAAGAAACATTAGTTTTCGTTTCCATTCCAAAACGTTTTGCTACAGTGTGCCCTAATGAACACAACTCTGTATAATTTATATGATGTATGGGTACCTGTATGACTGAATGATGTATGATTATTACCTGTAGGATTGCAGGATGTCTATGATTCCGATGTAGAGGAGTAGACGCTCTCCTTTCCCATTGACTGCTGGGATGCCTCCCATCCTACCGAGACAAACATGAAGAGATGGAGTGAGATAAAAAAAGTGACACTGACAAACAGAGAGATTTACAAGGAGACAGCAAGCGACACTCAAACACACCCCACCCAGCCTGTCACACGTCTCATTCACTCACGTGTCGTCTGTGTCGATAGACTCGCCGCAGGCAGCCCCTCCCTGGATAGACTCCATGGCGGTGGAGTAGAGGGCCTTCTGGGCCACGGGCCTCTTCTCATCCTTCTCGCCTCCCTCCATCTGCTGCTCCCGCTCTGCCTGGTCGATGTTATGGACCCCCAGCAGCAAGCTGTAGTCCATGATCTTAAAGCTCTCCAGCACCTGGCAACATACACAGAGATATGGGTCACAGTTATGCGACTGAGCCAGGTCTATCAACCCTATGAACAGGTCCACCCGTCAATGGGGTCCTTCTCAATGATCTTTTCTTTTGCAGTTCAGGGCATTAAAAAGTTAACCTGTACTGCAGTGCCATATAAAACATTTGCTTTACAGTGGATGACGTAACCGCACAGTCAGGGGCATATTTCAGAAATGTATTTAATTATGAACTTGCTGCTTGGCGTCAAAGAGAGTTTGTCATATTAACGATGGACATGTATGGAACTGTCTATTTAGTAGGCCTAAACTTGTCTGTTGTCTTCGTGAAAATATTTTAAATAGTTCCTCTTACTTTTGTTAAATTGAAAACCAGTCTGGTTTATGAAATTACATTACATACAGGAATGATGATATTACTTTTGACTTCATGTACTAGGCATACTCTCAATTTAGTTCTAAATGGATTCATCCATCAAAACAATTCTGAAATAATTTTCCTTTTTTGTGTTCAAATCTTCACTTGAGTGCTATTCATGTGTTCATTCTGCCTGCTGTTGGCTGTCTATTCTAACAAATATAATGAATACATGGGGGATGATGATGTATCTCCTTGTGCTAGATATCCTTTTATGTTATATTACATTTTGAGGAGCTGGTTCTGCTGGCCAGATGTGGCTAATGTTTTGTTGTTTTCCTTTCACATCCGTTTTTGTTAATTGTACAAGAAAAAGAGCTAGATTGAAAAAGTAAATTTTTAATGCCCACAACTATAGATGCTAGGTTTCAAACTACGTCAATGTGTAATTTAAACCTTTATAGCAATGGGTCCTAAACCCGGCTGGTTTTCCTCACCAGACAGTCTCTCTGCAGGGTCTTGACCAGAGCGCTGTACATATCCTGGTCCAGCATCAGGCCATCCTGCAGGTCCTGCATGAAGTCCAGGTCTTTGAAGGTGGGCTTGGCTTTCTGTCTCTCCTTCTTGGAGGCACAGCGTTTGTACGTGGAGCCCTTCAGGTCAAACTTGAGGTGCATGCGGACGGCGCGCGGTAGAACGTTGTTCATGACCACCATGCGGATGTTCTTACCGCCAGATTGGATGCAGTACAGGCCGAAGAACTTGGGAAGCAGGGTGCGAGGGTTCTGGTTGAGGTTCTGGAGAAAGAGAAAGACAGAGTAAGAAAAAGACCAACAGCACCAAGAGCACAGGGCAGTATTGGAACAAACAGTCCAGAATTTGGTACCACTAAACTAACCTTCAAAATATTCAAAACACATGAATAACTAAAAAAAGACCGAAAGCAGTAACCCAAAGCACGAGCCGTTTAAACAAATCTAATTCATCCTTCAGTAAAAATATCTCCTCATCATCAATCTTCCCCTTTAAATTAGGTTAGCCAAGCGACAAACGTTCCAAAAACCTCCTAAATCCCATTAAAGTAATGACAGAGGAGCCTGCTCCTTATCCACTCAAAGACAACCACCACTGGCTGGCAGACAGACAGAGAGAGAGCTAGAGAGAGAGAGCGAGAGAGAGCGAGAGAGAGAGAGAGAGAGAGAAATAGAGCGATAGAGAGAGAGAGATAGATAGATACAGTTGAAGTCGGAGGTTTACATACACCTTAGCCAAATACATTTAAAGTAAGTTTTTCACAATCCTAGTAAAAATTCCCTGTCTTAGGTCAGTTAGGATCACCACTTTATTTTAAGAATGTGAAATGTCAGAATAATAGTAGAGAGAATGATTTATTTCAGCTTTTATTTCTTTCATCACATTCCCAGTTGGTCAGAAGTTTACATACACTCAATTAGTATTTGGTAGCTTTGCCTTTAAATTGTTTAACTTGGGTCAAACGGTTCGGGTAGCCTTCCACAAGCTTCCCACAATAAGTTGGGTGAATTTTGGCCCATTCCTCCTGACAAAGCTGGTGTAACGGAGTCAGGCCTCCTTGCTCACACACGCTTTTTCAGTTCTGCTCACAAATTATCTATAGGATTGAGGTCAGGGCTTTGTGATGGCCACTCCAATACCTTGACTTTGTTGTCCTTAAGCCATTTTGCCACAACTTTGGAAGTAGGCTTGGGGTCATTGTCCATTTGGAAGACCCATTTGCGACCAAGCTTTAACTTCCTGACTGATGTCTTGAGATGTTGCTTCAATATATCCACATAATTTTCCTTCCTCATGATGCCATCTATTTTGTGAAGTGCACCAGTCCCTCCTGCAGCAAAGCACCACCACAGCATGATGCTGCCACCCCCGTGCTTCACGGTTGGGATGGAGTTCTTCGGCTTGCAAGCCACCCCCTTTTTCCTCCAAACATAATGATGGTCATTATGGCCAAAACAGTTCTATTTTTGTTTCATCAGACCAGAGGACATTTCTCCAAAAAGTACGATATTTGTCCCCATGTGCAGTTGCAAACCGTAGTCTGGCTTTTTTATGGCGGTTTTGGAGCAGTGGCTTCTTCCTTGCTGAGCAGCCTTTCAGGTTATGTAGACATAGGACTTGTTTTACTGTGGATATAGATACTTTTGTACCAGTTTCCTCCAGCATCTTCACAAGGTCCTTTGCTGTTGTTCTGGGATTGATTTGCACTTTTCGCACAAAAGTACATTCATCTCTAGGAGACAGAACGCATCTCCTTCCTGAGCAGAATGACGGCTGCGTGGTCCCATGGTGTTTATATTTGCGTACTATTGTTTGTACAGATGAACGTAGTACCTTCAGGCGTTTGGAAATTGCTCCCAAGGATGAACCAGACTTGTGGAGGTCTACAATTCTTTTCCTGAGGTCTTGGCTGATTTCTTTTGATTCTCCCATGATGTCAAGCAAAGAGGCACTGTGTTTGAAGGTAGGCCTTGAAATACATCCACAGGTACACTTCCAATTGACTCAAATGATGTCAATTAGCCTATCAGAAGCTTCTAAAGCCATGACATCATTTTCTGGAATTTTCCAAGCTGTTTAAAGGCACAGTCAACTTAGTGTATGTAAACTTCTGACCCACTGGAATTGTGATACCGTGAATTATAAGTGAAATAATCTGTCTGTAAACAATTGTTGGAAAAATTACTTGTGTCATGCACAAAGTAGATGTCCTAACCGACTTGCCAAAACTATAGTTTGTTAACAAGACATTTGTGGAGTGGTTGAAAAACAAGTTTTAATGACTCCAACCTAAATGTATGTAAACTTCCGACTTCAACTGTAGATAGAGAGGGGGAGACAGGCAGACAGAGTGGCTTAAGGAGCCTGCTCCTTATCCACTCAAAGACAACCACCGCTGGCAGTCAGACAGACACAGAGAGAGAGAGAGAGAGAGAGAGAGAGAGAGAGAGAGAGAGAGAGAGAGAGAGAGAGAGAGAGAGAGAGAGAGAGAGAGAGAGAGAGAGAGAGAGAGAGAGAGAGAGAGAGAGAGAGAGAGGACGGAGGGGGCCAGAGGGGCCACAGGGCTCCAACAGCAGCCTGCTGAGGGGCCTTCAGGCTTTTAGGCCACAGCCAGTGACCTTCAAAGGAGAGACCGACTGGAGCATGATAGAGAGAGAGTAGAAGAGAGAGAGGGAGTGAACCCATATCCTCCAGCCAGACACGACCCCTCTGTCCATGAGTGGAGGGCACAGCGCTGACAAGTCAACAACAGACACGTGAGAGAGAGAGAGCGGGGGAGGGAAAAACAGGGATAGAAAGAGAGATGTGAGAGGGTGAGAGCAAGTGAAAGCGTGACAGAGAATCGAGCTTGGCATGGAACATTTAAAAATGATGGGGGGAAAACCGGCATGGAAAATAATAGCATGAGAGAGTGTGGAAAACAAGTGTGAGGGGGAAAAGTGAGGGGGTGGCACGGACATCTGTTACATCACCATGCTTTACATTATGCCCCCAGCCCAACCTAGTCCTGTCAGCTGCAGCAGACGTGTAGAGCTGCTCTACTGCCTGTGTGTCTGTGTGTCTGTCTCCCCACTGTGTCTCAGTCAGTCAGTCTAAGTCTGTTATGGCTTCAGGCTATAGATAACCTGCATGGCTCAGAATCTCTCTGGGCTTCTTAACTCGCATACCTAAAACACCCATAAGAATCGTGTAACTGCAATGGTCTGGAGCCAAAATTGTGGAAAAGGTCCGTGTAAATGCGTGAGTCTTCCTGTTCTCATGTACTAATGCTCTGTTGCCAGGCCTGTTGGTACATGAATTTACACAAGCTTAGCCCCACCAGGAACCTAAAATAGAAACATGGACATACATGGAGCTGTTGCTATTTAAACAGAGTTCTACTGAAGTGTGACCAGCATGGCTAACTGAGGCTCAACAACATCCTGCTTCTGTTACACAGTGACAAGGGCCTTCCATGGCTCGGTGACCTCCAGTTATCTGCAGTCTAGACCAGGAATGGGCAACTGGCGACCCAGGCCCTCGGATCAATTTAGTCGGGGTCTCAACTTACTGTTACGAGGTAGAATACACAAGGTGCAATTTTGAAATTTGGTTGTGCATCAACAGTTTTTATCTTGTTATGTCAGTCACTGATCGTCACTCAATTAGCCCATGTCAGATACATTTTCTAGATTGGTAAGTTAGTCTAGCGGCCAGCTATCTAAACTTGTAGTAATCAAGGTCAAATTAGAGCCCGGGGAGCCCCCGTTGATTTTGTTAGTCAGTCTCACTCAGATATCATATTAAAAACTGCAAACATTTCTCTCCATCCTATGGCAAAAACAATTGTAGATTTGCAGCAAACTAGCTTTTAAAACAGCTACATTTTCTCTACAGCCCATGGCAAAATGTGTAGAATTGCACGAAATTAACTCTAAAACACATGATGAGTTCAGATTTTTTGTGGCCCCCACTCCAATCAAAGTTGCCAATCCCTGGTCTAGACAATGAATGTACCAAGGTATAAAGCAGCTAGGCAGAGTTGTTTGAGATTGGAGCAATGAAGTGTGTAAGGATGGGATCAGCAAAACATGGGCTTCATGTTCCTTTGTGTCAGAAAATAAGGAATGTTTTATTCATCAGGAAAGGTGGCGTCTCTGGTTGTAGAGTGAGTTTAGTATGTTAGTGAGTGGGATTACAATGATGAAGAGTGCAGTATGTGAAAGAATGATGCAGTGTGTGTGTGGGCGCATGTGTTTTTGTGTGTTTGTATGTTTGTGTATATTCGTGCACGCATGTGCGTTTGTGTATGTGTAAGTGCGTGCATGTGTGCGTATTGTGAGTGTCTGGGGTCACATCTCACCATGTAGTAGCCAGGCAGCAGCTTCTGCAGAAACTCGGCCTCCTTGTGCATGACGGTCTTGATGATGAACTCGTCGTCCTTGGTCAGGTAGAACACAGACCCACTGGCCCCAGGGTTGGACAGCTCAATCAGGGGCTCGTTACACAGGGAATACTAGAGACACACACACACAGAGAGAGATACAAGCACACACAGCCACAGAGACAGAGAGACACTGGTCAGATTGGGTAAAAGCACTGAAAAACTGAAATAAAATAAAAATGTCAGTTTGAAAACAAATATCACTTTTGGGGGGTTAGATATATATCCTCACTTTTGGGGGGTTAGATATATATCCTCCTCAGAAAAGCAGTGAATCAAGACAATAGTTTCACCATAATCCATTACCCTCTGAAATGTAGGCTACAGTCTGTTTAATCATCCTCTACGCCTTCTTGCGCTCCATTATTTTCTTTAGAGACAGCAAAACAATATCTGAAAACCCTGTCTATCTGGTAGTGGAAATGAGATAATAAAGTGAGATGAAACGAGGACAAGCTAGAAACAACACCTGATTGAAACACACACAGCAGGAGACGGATGCATGCACATCCCAATCAGACAGTATGTGGAATGAGGGATGGAAGGACGACGGGAGGGAGGGAGAGAAAAACAGAGAGAGAGAGAGCAAGAGAGAGAGAGAGCGAGAGAGAGAGGAGAGAGAGAGCGAGAGAGAGAGAGAGAGAGAGAGAGAGCGAGAGAGACCGAATGGGAGAGAAAGAGAGGATGACAGAGGGGAAAAGAGAGAGAGAGGAGTGAGGGAGGGAGATGGAGGGAGAGAGAGAGAGGAAGGGAGAAAAGAGAGAGTAAGAGGGAGAGAGAGAGAGTGAAGAGAGAGAAAGAAGAGAGAGCAAGACCCTGAGTCCAGAGAGCACGAGCACTGGCCCCAGGCACTGTGATGAATCACTGAGGCAGGAACACTGCGCACACACACAGGGCCAGTCTCTCACACACACACACACACACACACACACACACACACACACACTATAAACGCAGACCCTCAGAGAGACAGATACACCTAATGCACAAAGGATCTTAAAATAGCCCAGGCCCATATGTTTATACATGAGACGGTCTGCTCCTTCAGGGGTTTCTCTAACGAGCTGCTCAGGTTGGGCTGACATCTCACGTCTGATCTCTGCTGTGTTCTGCTGTGTGTGTCTAGACCAGAACCCCAGTGTGCTTAACACATAACTAACCCTGGGTTAATGACAGACAGAGAGACGCTTCACAATTCACTGCCCCAACGAATTGTGAACGCAGCCCCCGGCGCGGTTAGCCCTTGTGGCTAGGACCACAGATTGTCCCGGGCTTGTGGCTGTCTAGATCTCTGCTGTTTGTTGCGGTTTCCATCTGCCCTGCGACCTGCCCTGAACAATACCAGGTCTATTTTGCTCCAGAGAAGTAGCTCATTGTTCCCTCGTTGGCGCCATCTTCCCTGCGACCTGCCCTGTCTGGAAGTGCGAGGAGTAACAGCATAGCCTACATTGGTACCATGACAAAGCCGGTGGGAGCACTGTTGAGGACAGTGGTTCTCTATCACAGGTCAAGGATCTTTTAAATGAACAAAAAGTTTCTACAAGCAGTTGTTACAACAACAAGAAAATAGCTTAAAGTGTTGTGTCCAAATACTGGTGGAGTCAACTAATAAAATAATGGACGACCTGACCAGAGAGGTCCAGGACCTGAAGAACAGTTTGCAGTTCTCCCATGGTCAGTTCGATGAGTTTAAACAGGAGAACACCAAGATGACAGCAATCCGTAAGTCATTGAGAGAGGACATCAGTTCTGTATGTGAATCCATGATAATAATGGAGAAATCAGCTTATCTCAAGGGACAATCAAGGCGGAACAACATTGTTGTGGACGGAATTGCAGAATTGCCACATGAGACCTGGACGGAGTCTGAGGACAACGTGAGGGAAATGATCATTGAGAAACTGATGATGGACCACAGGAACATTGAGGTAGAGCGCAACCAGAGGACTGGAAAACCCACCACCGGCCCAGGTGACAGGCCCAGGCCGATAGTGGTCAAGTTCCTGAGGTTCAAGGACAAGATAGCTGTTCTGGAAAGAGCCAAAAACTTGAGAGGGACGTACATCTTCCTCAACAAGGACTATCCTGAAGCTGTGCGCCAGAAGAGGAAAAATGCACCCCAGCCATTAAAGCTGCCAGAGCGTGTGGGGACATTGCTTACAGTACATCTGCTATGACAGGCTCATTGTCCACCCTCCCTCCCAAAAGCCTGGCAGGGATGAGAGCGCTAAGCCTATGGGTTCATAGCTTCAACCCCGCAGCACACACACACTTACATACACCAACTGATTAATGGACTGCTGAATGTTTGTTTGTTTTTCTCTTGCTTTGTTTGCTCTGTTCCATATTACAGTGGGGGAAAAAGTATTTAGTCAGCCAACAATTGTGCAAGTTCTCCCACTTAAAAAGATGAGAGAGGCCTGTAATTTTCATCATAGGTACACGTCAACTATGACAGACAAAATGAGGAAAAAAAATCCAGAAAATCACATTGTAGGATTTTTAATAAATTTATTTGCTAATTATGGTGGAAAATAAGTATTTGGTCATAACAAAAGTTTCTCAATACTTTGTTATATACCCTTTGTTGGCAATGACACAGGTCAAACGTTTTCTGTAAGTCTTCACAAGGTTTTCACACACTGTTGCTGGTATTTTGGCCCATTCCTCCATGCAGATCTCCTCTAGAGCAGTGATGTTTTGGGGCTGTCGCTGGGCAACCCGGACTTTCAACTCCCTCCAAAGATTTTCTATGGGGTTGAGATCTGGAGACTGGCTAGGCCACTCCAGGACCTTGAAATGCTTCTTACGAAGCCACTCCTTCGTTGCCCGGGCGGTGTGTTTGGGATCATTGTCATGCTGAAAGACCCAGCCACATTTCATCTTCAATGCCCTTGCTGATGGAAGGAGGTTTTCACTCAAAATCTCACGATACATGGCCCCATTCATTCTTTCCTTTACACGGATCAGTCGTCCTGGTCCCTTTGCAGAAAAACAGCCCCAAAGCATGATGTTTCCACCCCCATGCTTCACAGTAGGTATGGTGTTCTTTGGATGCAACTCAGCATTCTTTGTCCTCCAAACACGACGAGTTGAGTTTTTACCAAAAGGTTATATTTTAGTTTCATCTGACCATATGACATTCTCCCAATCCTCTTCTGGATCATCCAAATGCACTCTAGCAAACTTCAGACGGGCCTGGACATGTACTGGCTTAAGCAGGGGGACACGTCTTGCACTGCAGGATTTGAGTCCCTGGCGGCGTAGTGTGTTACTGATGGTAGGCTTTGTTACTTTGGTCCCAGCTCTCTGCAGGTCATTCACTAGGTCCCCCCGTGTGGTTCTGGGATTTTTGCTCACCGTTCTTGTGATCATTTTGACCCCACGGGGTGAGATCTTGCGTGGAGCCCCAGATCGAGGGAGATTATCAGTGGTCTTGTATGTCTTCCATTTCCTAATAATTGCTCCCACAGTTGATTTCTTCAAACCAAGCTGCTTACCTATTGCAGATTCAGTCTTCCCAGCCTGGTGCAGGTCTACAATTTTGTTTCTGGTGTCCTTTGACAGCTCTTTGGTCTTGGCCATAGTGGAGTTTGGAGTGTGACTGTTTGAGGTTGTGGACAGGTGTCTTTTATACTGATAACAAGTTCAAACAGGTGCCATTAAATACAGGTAACGAGTGGAAGGACAGAGGAGCCTCTTAAAGAAGAAGTTACAGGTCTGTGAGAGCCAGAAATCTTGCTTGTTTGTAGGTGACCAAATACTTATTTTCCACCATAATTTGCAAATAATGCATTCAAATCCTTACAATGTGATTTTCTGGAAACAAAAATCTCATTTGTCTGTCATAGCTTTGACGTGTAACCTATGAGAAAATTACACAGGCCTCTCTCATCTTTTTAAGTGGGAGAACTTGCACAATTGTGGTGGCCCACTGTAAGATAAACACAGGTAATGCAGCCTCATACATTAGGAAGGGATTTTGTCCCAGAATTAACTACTTTGTGCGAAAAGTATCAAATCATCCCAAACAAAGGGTAAGAGCTGGAACAGGTACAAAGTATCTATAATCCAAGTAAAGCATAAAAAGCAGACTACGGTTTGCAACTGCACATGGGGACAAAGATCGTACTTTTTGGAGAAATGTCCTCTGGTCTGATGAAACAAAAATAGAACTGTTTGCCCATAATGTCCATCGTTATGTTTGGAGGAAAAAGGGGAAGGCCTTGCAAGCCGAAGAACAACCATCCCAACCGTGAAGCACGGGGGTGGCAGCATCATGCTGTGGGGGTGCTTTGCTGAAGGAGGGACTGGTGCACTTCACAAAAGTGGCACCCCTGCAAATGACTGCTGATTGGTTGAAAGAAATTGATAATAAGAAGATTGTGGGTGCTGTACTGTTAGATTTCAGTGCAGCTTTTGGTATTATTGACCATAACCTGAAAAAACGTATGTGTTATGGCTTTTCAACCTCTGCCATATCGTGGATTCAGAGCTATCTATCTAATAGAACACAGAGAAGAAGCCATTTTTATTCTCAACTTCTTAACTAACTCATCAATATCCTTTTTAAGAGACAGCTTTTCATCTATCCAGATGCCCAGATATTTGTAAGGAGGGACATGATCAATATGGACACCATCTAAAGTACATACAGTTGAAGTCGGAAGTTTACATACACCTTAGCCAAATACATTTAAACTCAGTTTTTCACAATTCCTGACATTTAATCCTAGTAAAAATTCCCTGTCTTAGGTCAGTTAGGATCACCACTTTATTTTAAGAATGTTAAATTTCAGAATAATAGTAGAGAATTATTTATTTCAGCTTTTATTTCTTTCATCACAATCCCAGTGGGTCAGAAGTTTACATACACTCAATTAGTATTTGGTAGCATTGCTTTGAAATTGTTTAACTTGGGTCAAACGTTTCGGGTAGCCTTCAACAAGCTTCCCACAATAAGTTGGGTGAACTTTGGGCCATTCCTCCTGACAGAGCTGGTGTAACTGAGTCAGGTTTGTAGGCCTCCTTGCTCGCATGTGCTTTTTCAGTTCTGCCCACACATTTTTTATAGGATTGAGGTCAGGCCTTTGTGATGGCCACTCCAATACCTTGACTTTGTTGTCCTTAAGCCATTTTTCCACAACTTTGGAAGTATGCTTGGGGTCATTGTCCATTTGGAAGACCCATTTGCGACCAAGCTTTAACTTCCTCACTGATGTCTTGAGATGTTGCTTCAATTTATCCACATAATATTCCTTCCTCATGATGCCATCTATTTTGTGAAGTGCACCAGTCCCTCCTGCAGCAAAGCACCCCCACAGCATGATGCTGCCACCCCCGTGCTTCACGGTTGGGATGGTGTTCTTCGGCTTGCAAGCAACCCCCTTTTTCCTCCAAACATAACGATGGTCATTATGGCCAAACAGTTCTATTTTTGTTTCATCAGACCAGAGGACATTTCTCCAAAAAGTACGATCTTTGTCCCCATGTGCAGCTGCAAACCGTAGTCTGGCTTTTTTGTGGTGGCTTTGGAGCAGTGGCTTCTTCCTTGCTGAGCGGCCTTTCAGGTTATGTCGATATAGGACTTGTTTTACTGTGGATATAGATACTTTTGTACCCGTTTCCTCCAGCATCTTCACAAGGTCCTTTGCTGTTGTTCTGGGATTGATTTGCACTTTTCGCACCAAAGTACATTAATTTCTAGGTGACAGAACGCATCTCCTTCCTGAGCGGTGTTTATACTTGTGTACTATTGTTTGTACAGATGAACGTGGTACCTTCAGGCGTTTGGAAAGTTGGAAAGGATGAACCAGACTTGGAGGTCTACAATATTTTTTCCGAGGTCTTGGCTGATTCCTTTTGATTTTCCCATGATGTCAAACAAAGAGGCACTGAGTTTGAAGGTAGGCCTTGAAATACATCCACAGGTACACATCCAGTTGACTCAAATGATGTCAATTAGCCTATCAGAAGCTTCTAAAGCCATGACATCATTTTCTGGATTTTTCCAAGCTGTTTAAAGGCACAGTCAACTTAGTGTATGTAAACTTCTGACCCACTGGAATTGTGATACAGTGAATTATAAGTGAAATAATCTTTCTGTAAACAATTGTTGGAAAAATTACTTGTTTCATACACAAAGTAGATGTCCTAACTGACTTGCCAAAACTATAGTTTGTTAACAAGAAATTAGTGGAGTGGTTGAAAAACAAGTTTTAATGACTCTAACCTAAGTGTATGTAAACTTCCGACTTCAACTGTAGGCTTAAATCATCAGTTATTTTTATGCGCTCTAGAGAACATATACTTAGTTTTACCTGCATTCAGTACTAATTTCAGGTCAATAAAGTTTTTCTGTAATACAATGAAGGCATACTGTAGTTCAGATAGAGCCTGGTCAACCGTGGGGGCAATAGCATACACATTTTTTACATTTACATTTTAGTCATTTAGCAGACGCTCTTATCCAGAGCGACATACAGTTAGTGAGTGCATACATTTTCATACTGGCCCCCCATGGGAATACACAACACTTTAATGGAAGCTTCTCTAATTTTAAACATGTAAAGTGTGGTGTACCGCGGAGCAGCTCTCTTGGCCCACTATTCTTTTCTATTTTTACCAATGAACACCCACTGGCATTAAACAAAGCCTGTGTGTCCATGTATGCTAATGATTCAAACCTATACGCGTCAGCAACCACAACTAGTGAAGTCACTGCAACCCTAAACAAAGAGTTGCAGTCAGTTTTAGAATGGGTGGCCAGTAATAAACTGGTCCTGAACATCTCTTAAACTAAGAGCATTGTATTTGGTACAAATCATTCCCTAAGTTCTAGACCTCAGCTGAATCTGGTAATGAATGGTGTGGCTGTTGAGCAAGTTGAGGAGACTAAATTACTTGGTGTTACCTTAGATTATAAACTGGCATGTGCAAAACATATAGATTAAATAGTTGTAAAGATGGGGAAAGGTCCGTGATAAAGAGATGCTCTGATTTTTTGACACCACACTCCACAAAGCAAGTCCTGCAGGCTCTAGTTTTATCTTATCTTGATTATTTTCCAGTCATATGATCAAGTGCTGCAAAGAAGGACTTAGTTAAGCTGCAGCTGGCCCAGAACAGAGCGGCACATTTTGCTCTTCATTGTAATCAGAGGGCTGATGTCTATACTATGCTTGCCAGTCTCTCTTGGCTAAGAGTTGAGGAAAGACTGCATCATTGTTTTTATAAGAAACATTCATGTGTTAGAAATTCCAAATTGTTTGCATAGTCAACTTATAGCACTGACACACACTTACCCTACCAGACATGCCACCAGAGGTCTTTTCACAGTCCCCAGGTCCAGAACACATTTAAACACACATACAGTATTATACAGAGCAATGATTGCATGGAACTCCCTTCCATCTCATATAGTGCAAATGAACAGCAAACCTGGTTTCAAAAAACAAATAAAGCAACACCTCTCCCCTATTTGACTTACTTGTTGTATGTACTGACATGTATGTGTAACTGATAGATGCACTCACACACAAGCACACTACATGTTCATGTTTTAAATGCATGTAAATTGTAAAGTATTTTGTCTGTAATGTCGGACCCCAGTAAGACTAGCTGTCGCCATTGGCGTCGGCTAATGGGGATCCTAATAAAATCAATGAATTACCCCCATACAGCTCTGGAGAGGAGGGAAGGAGCTGTGGACTGGGTTGTTTGGGGATTATGGTTGTTTGGGTTTGTGGAATAGGCCCACTGGTGTATTTTCTGTACAGTACATTGCTATTTGCTATTCAGAAAATCCAATAAAAATAGAATTTGGCCATATACACTACTGTAGCTCTGTACATTGTTGTCAGAAATGGAAAACAGGAATAACTCAGACCAAATGATTGCATTGTGTCTGTACATGTTGGCACACAGACAAACACACCGCCAGTCAGCCAGCACAGATACAATGTGACAAGGGCCATGAGGTGTGACGCATGCACACATTATTATGTCATAGCTAGAGTTGGCAGGGTAATTGTATAACCGTTTTTTGTTGATCAACTTCATTTTCAAGTCGACAAACTTTACCCAAAAGCAGTAAAGTAAAAGTAAGCCTGGTTCACATCGAACAGCCAATATAAGAAGGAGACAAAACTAGCCAGTTTTAGAATTTTGTGTTGTGGAACAATTGTAGTGCTTTAAACTGACTGAAGACGGGACGGCAGGACATTCAAAAATACAAAACATGCGTGCAGTTGAGTCCGTTCCCACGGTAACAGACTCTTTACAACGTGATGCAACTTTGTTGCTCCTTGTTACAGCAGAGTGTTGTTGCAAACGAGTATGATAAAATACATGCAACCAATGACTTGACCATAGACTGTATAGTTAACAACAGCAAGCTATACCCTCAGTTAGCTGTCAGCTTGGCTTAACAGTAAACATGGATCATCACGTCCCTGATTTGAGTCCTATACAGCGCCTTGGAACACATGCGGTCAGGAGCAGCACATGCAGTCAGGAGCAGAGAACAGGAGAAAATGCAAATTTTTATTTTATTTATTATTTTACATTTACATTTACATTTTAGTCATTTAGCAGACGCTCTTATCCAGAGCGACTTACAGGAGCAATTAGGGTTAAGTGCCTTGCTCAAGGGCACATCGACAGATTTTTCACCTAGTCGGCTCGGGGATTAGAACCAGCGACCTTTCGGTTACTGGCACTACGCTCTTAACCACTAAGCTACCTGCCGCCCCACACTATTATAACGTGACTGCGGTCATTTGGCTGACAAATAACCATCATCCAAACTTCCATGACCATCACAGCCCTAGTCATAGCGAAACACAAAATGACATGGATGTATCCTACTTGACATGTACACAGACATAAACATGCACACACACTAGTCAGCGGTCTGTTTTGGAGCTCCTAGACTGCTGACCGCTCAGGGAAGAGCAGTGACTCACCCTGCCTCCACACTGATGGTGTATGACAGGGCACAGGCAGCCCTCCTCGCCCTAACCTCTTCCCCAGACCTCCTCTGGGCCTAACCATCTCTCTACCCAGACCGCTTATAGCACCCCCCCCTCCCAACCCTTCTCTGGCCCTCCCCAGCCTTCATCCTCTCTACTCACTGTTTCTCCCCTCGCCCTCCCTATCTCTGCTTCTCCCTGCCTAATATCCCTATTCATCCACACAGTATTTATTTGCTCTCCCAAACTCTCCTCATTCTCTTCAACCCTCCCTGTCCCTCCCCCGTCTCTCCTCATTCTCTTCAACCCTCCCTGTCCCTCCCCCGTCTCTCCTCATTCTCTTCAACCTCCCTGTCCCTCCCCCGTCTCTCCTCATTCTCTTCAACCCTCCCTCCCCCTCCCCCGTCTCTCCTCATTCTCTTCAACCTCCCTCCCCTCACCCTGGTCTCTCCTCATTCTCTTCAACCTCCCTCCCCCTCCCCCGTCTTCTCCTCATCTCTTCAACCTCCCTCCCCTCCCCCGTCTCTCCTCATTCTCTTCAACCTCCCTCCCCCTCCCCGTCTCTCCTCAATTCTCTTCAACCTCTCCCCTCCCCCGTCTCTCCTATTCTACTTCAACCTCCCATGTCCCTCCCCCCGTCTCTCCTCATTCTCTTCAACCTCCCTGTCTCTCCCCCGTCCCTCCTCATTCTCTTCAACCCTCCCTGTCCCTCCCCCGTCTCTCTCTCCTCATTCTCTTCCCAGTCTCTCTCCAGCCATGCCTGGGTGCCTACCTGTCTGGTGGGGGAGATCACACTCCCAGTCATGGTGCTACACAGCCTGCTGTGCTGCTGTCAGCAGGCTGGACCGAGAGGGAGGGAGTGGGCAGCAGGCTGTGGGAGTGTGGGCCAAGACCAGAACACAGCAGGTGGACTGGACACCTCAGTCTCTCTGAACAGCTTTTGTAAAGAGACCTGCTTCAGTGGGATCATTCCACAACACTGGCCTATTAAATGACTGCTCATCTGTTCATTCTGGTTATCTAATGTATGGTGACACTATGCCATGTGTTCATATCTGTTGTCATGGTTCAAAAAGGGTAGAGTTCCATCTTCTTACCAGGTAGTCATCAGGCCTGATCCCAAAGAGCTCCCTGAAGTAGCGGAAGGCCACGGGAGCGTACGTCTTGAAGCGGAAGTCTGGGAAGTGGTGGGCTGGAGTCAGGTTGCTGCCTTCACTGGGATCAGGAGAGAGGGAGAAAAGCTTTTAGATACGGGACAATTATCTATGAAGGAATTATTCTAGTGTAAATAATGAATGACTTTCTATCAAAAGAGCATCTCCAGGATCAGGGTTGTGATCGGTCAGAAATCTCTGATATCTTTGAAAGGCCTGGATGACATGTCCGTCTCATTCTAATAATGTCACAAAGCTGTGTGCTGCCCTGATGGTGTGGTTACCTAGTTACCTTGGGAAGAAGATGCTCTCCACCACATAGAAGTCCTGCATGAGAACGTCTCTCTCAGGCTTGGAGCTCAGGTTGCCCACCGTGTAGCCAATGCCCAGCTGGATGGCACCTTTCAGGGCAGAGGATGTGGTCTGGGGGAGAGGAGAGAGATGGTGGTGGTTAGGGGAAATACTTAAGACATTTCTGAGCTAATTGTGCATAAAGGACCATTGCCAAGTGCCCTACCAAGGGAGCTTTTCCTTGCCAATGTCTTGGCTTGGCTTGTTCTATTGGGGGTTTGGCTGTTTTGCTGTAAGGCATTTGTAAAAGGCACAGGCACTATATGTGATCACTATATGATTGATTAATTGATTGATTGACTGGCTAAAATCTGGGGAGATAGTGCCTACTGCCTACCTTCTTGTAGGTGGTCTCTCCAGACGCATCCACTCCCCTGTGGCCCATCCTTTTCCCCTGGCCTGGTAGGCCTGAGACACCAGGCAGCTGTTGGCCAGAGGATGGAGCAGAGTGGTTAAGACACATATTTAGATTGATACTCACTTCTATGGGGTGACAACACTAACAACACTACCACCTGATGCCCAGCTACAGTGAGGGAAAAAAGTATTTGATCCCCTGCTGATTTTGTACGTTTGCCCACTGACAAAGAAATTATAATAATAATAAATAATATGCCATTTAGCAGACGCTTTTATCCAAAGCGACTTACAGTCATGCGTGCATACATTTTTTTGTGTGTTTTTTGTGTGTATTATCAGTCTATAATTTTAATGGTAGGTTTATTTGAACAGTGAGAGACAGAATAACAACAAAAAAATCCAAAAAAACGCATGTCAAAAATGTTATAAATTGATTTGCATTTTAATGAGGGAAATAAGTATTTGACCCCTCTGCAAAACATGACTTAGTACTTGGTGGCAAAACCCTTGTTGGCAATCACAGAGGTCAGACGTTTCTTGTAGTTGGCCACCAGGTTTGCACACATCTCAGGAGTGATTTTGTTCCACTCCTCTTTGCAGATCTTCTCCAAGTCATTAAGGTTTCGAGGCTTTGGCAACTCGAACCTTCAGCTCCCTCCACAGATTTTCTATGGGATTAAGGTCTGGAGACTAGCTAGGCCACTCCAGGACCTTAATGTGCTTCTTCTTGAGCCACTCCTTTGTTGCCTTGGCCGTGTGTTTTGGATCAATGTCATGCTGGAATACCCATCCACAACCCATTTTCAATGCCCTGGCTGAGGGAAGGAGGTTCTCACCCAAGATTTGACGGTACATGGCCCCGTCCATCGTCCCTTTGATGCGGTGAAGTTGTCCTGTCCCCTTAGCAGAAACCCCCCCCCAAAGCATAATGTTTCCACCTCCATGTTTGACTGTGGGGATGGTGTTCTTAGGGTCATAGGCAGCATTCCTCCTCCTCCAAACACGGCGAGTTGAGTTGATGCCAAAGAGCTCGATTTTGGTCTCATCTGACCACAACACATTCAGATGTTCATTGGCAAACTTCAGACGGGCCTGTATATGTGCTTTCTTGAGCAGGGGGACCTTGCGGGCGCTGCAGGATTTCAGTCCTTCACGGCGTAGTGTGTTACCAATTGTTTTCTTGGTGACTATGGTCCCAGCTGCCTTGAGATCATTGACAAGATCCTCCTGTGTAGTTCTGGGCTGATTCCTCACCGTTCTCATGATCATTGCAACTCCACGAGGTGAGATTTTGCATGGAGCCCCAGGCCGAGGCAGATTGACAGTAATTTTGTGTTTCTTCCATTTGCGAATAATCGCACCAACTGTTGTCACCTTCTCACCAAGCTGCTTGGCGATGGTCTTGTAGCCCATTCCAGCCTTGTGTAGGTCTACAATCCTGTCCCTGACATCCTTGGAGAGCTCTTTGGTCTTGGCCATGGTTGAGAATTTTTTATCTGATTGATTGAAATAAATGCACTGTTGGTTAAGGGCTGTAAGTAAGCATTTCACTGTAATGTCTGCACCTGTTGTATTCGGCGTATGTGACCAATAAAATTTGATTTGATTTGATTTGATTGATTGCTTCTGTGGACAGGTGTCTATTATACAGGTAACAAACTGAGATTAGGAGCACTCCCTTTAAGAGTGTGCTCCTAATCTCAGCTTGTTACCTGTATAAAAGACACCTGGGAGCCAGAAATCTTTCTGATTGAGAGGGGGTCAAATACTTATTTCCCTCATTTAAATGCAAATCAATTTATAACATTTCTGACATGCGTTTTTCTGGATTTTGTTGTTGTTATTCTGTCTCTCACTGTTCAAATAAACCTACCATTAAAATTATAGACGGATCATTTCTTTGTCAGTGGGCAAACGTACAAAATCAGCAGGATATCAAATACTTTTTTCCCCTCACTGTATGGACAAGGTTTATCAAGCGTTTGCAGCACCAGTGTGAAGTTTGCACCTGTTCTTTTCAATAATAACACATACAATTAGGAACGAAAGGTAAATCAAATCAAATGTATTTGTCACGTGCCGAATACAACAGGTGTAGATCTCACCGTGAAATGCTTACTTACGGGCCCTTATAGTAACACAATAAAATAACAATAACGAGGCTATACACAAGGCTTACCGGTACCGATTCAATGTGCAGGGGTACGAGGCAGTTGAGGCAATGTAGGCAATATGTACATGTAGGTTGGTGTAAAAGTGACTAGGCAATCAGGATAGACAATAAACAGAGTAGCAGCAGAGTATGTCAAGAGTGTAAAAGTGTGTCTACAGTGCCTTCAGAAAGTATTCACACCCCTTGAATTTTTCCACATTGTGTTGTGTTCCAGCCTGAACTTAAAATGGATTGAGATTTTTTGGCACTGGCCTACACACAATACCCCATAATGTCAAAGTTGAATTTTGTATTTCAAAATTTTTACAAATTCATTAAAAATGAAAACCTGAGGACATCGTCGATGCACTTATTAATGAAGCCGGTGACTGATGTGGTAAACTCCTTATTAATGAAGCCGGTGACCGATGTGGTAAACTCCTTATTAATGAAGCCGGTGACCGATGTGGTAAACTCCTTATTAATGAAGCCGGTGACTGATGTGGTAAACTCCTTATTAATGAAGCCGATGACTGATGTGGTAAACTCCTTATTAATGAAGCCGATGACTGATGTGGTAAACTCCTTATTAATGAAGCCGATGACTGATGTGGTAAACTCCTTATTAATGAAGCCGGTGACTGATGTGGTAAACTCCTCAATGCCATCGGATGAACCCCGGAACATATTCCAGTCTGTGCTAGGCGAAACAGTCCTGTAGCTTAGCATCCGCTTCACCGGACTACTTCCGTATTGAGCGCGTCACTGGTACCACTCTTCTGTAAAGCCCAGCTCTGTGGAGTGTACGGCTTAAAGTGGTCCTATGGACAGATACTCCAATCTCCGCTGTGGAGCTTTGTAGCTCCTTCAGGGTTATCTTTGGTCTCTTTGTTGCCTCTCTGATTAATGCCCTCCTTGCCTGGTCCGTGAGTTTTGGTGGGCGGCCCTCTCTTGGCAGGTTTGTTGTGGTGTCATATTCTTTCAATTTTTTAATAATGGATTTAATGGTGCTCCGTGGGATTTTCAAAGTTTCTGATCTTTTTTTATAACCCAACCCTGATCTGTACTTCTCCACAACTTTGTCCCTGACCTGTTTGGAGAGCTCCTTGGTCTTCATGGTGCCGCTTGCTTGGTGGTGCCCCTTGCTTTGTGGTGTTGCAGACTCTGGGGCCTTTCAGAACGGGTGTATATATACTGAGATCATGTGACACTTAGATTGCACACAGGTGGACTTTATTTAACTAATTATGTGACTTCTGAAGGTAATTGGTTGCACCAGATCTTATTTAGGGGCTTCATAGCAAAGGGGGTAAATACATATGCACGCACCACTTTTCCGTTATTTATTTTTTAGAATTTTCTGAAACAAGTAATTTTTTTAATTTCACTTCACCAATTTGGACTATTTTGTGTATGTTCATTACATGAAATCCAAATAAAAATCAATTTAAATTACAGGTTGGAATGCAACAAAATAGGAAAAACGCCAAGGGGGATGAATACTTTTGCAAGGCACTGTACAGAGTAGTATAGGGAAATGGTGTGTGTGGGATTGAAGTGTAGGATCACAGTGAGGGGGGGGGGGGGGCGGTTAACATAGAGGGCATGTCTGGGGGGGAAGAGTCAAATGTATTTCACTGTCATATGGGCTAAATAAAAGTAAAGTAAGCAAGTACATTACCTCTGTGATGTGTGCTTTTCTAGCAGAATAGTCTGTGAGAGAGAGAGAGAGAGAGAGAGAGAGAGGGAGAGAGACCGTTAGTCCTACGAGGGGCTCCATTACTTCACATCATTAGTGTTAGAAGGAACAAACAGAAGTCCCATAGGGTACACATTATGTTAAAAGTGTAAAAAAAACAGTGGGGGGCAGGTAGTGGAGGGGATGGTTACCAAATCACTATACCATCCCCATTCTTCCTGGTAGTCAGTACCATCCATCCCCAGTCCCACTCTAGCATTTCTAGCATTCCATAAAGCCATGCGATGTGAAGACGTAAACAACAAAGGAAGTAATCAGTGAGCTTTGCTGTTCTGTTCTCCCCAGCCAGCCTGAAATAGATCCATAATTATAGCTAATTTCGCCACTCAGCATAATGAAGGAGTGCGAGGGGAGCTCAGATAGCACAACACACTACTTGCTTGATTGATTCAGTTCACTATTACGAGTATTAACATCAGATGCCAGTGTCAAAACACTGACTGACTGAGGCATTTTAAACTGACAGTGGTTCACACCAACATTGTTATTATTAGGCTTGTCTATTTAAAATGAGTAACACGCAGACAGTAATAGTGCAATTGGAATGACCTATAGAAATACATTAATTTTGAATAAGAATGCGTTATAGGCTACACCAGACGTGAAAAGCAAAGGGGGTAGGCTATGTGATGACAGAGGGCCGCAAAGGGAAGAAGCTGCATGTTCTCTGAATATGTGTTTTTCTCCTTTAAGCTGCAGTGCTAAAGTCTGCCTGCCTGCTTCCTGTGGTTGCCCATGTGACTGAGCCAGCCCTCCTCCCTCTCCTCTCCTCCAGCTCTCTCTAACTCACTCACTCGCTCCCTCCGTCACACACAGATTTGCTAAGGGATGAACAAGCCAAAACCTGCCGATGCAATCCTTCTGCAGGCAGGCTGGAACATTGCATAAAGAATAAAAATACATTACATCTAACCACATTGACACTGAGAATGTTGACAATGCAGATGATTACAGAGAGAGGAGCCTATCCTCCTTGTTACCGGGCAGACCCCAAGGTTTTCCTCCATTCCTGTTTCCTTTATAAACAGCCCCCCTGTCATTTTGCCCTGCGAACAGTGGGGTCGTTTCCCCTTGTATCTTACTGACTTCTTACTAGACTAGAACCATTTTGGTTCTGCATGCCTACAGCTGTTCAGACAGCCAATAACAGACAGCCATGTGTTATTATTACGCTACAGGTTTCCAGGCATTTTTTTGTGAACCCTCCCTCAGATCTTCGCCACCATAAAGGTCTGACTGAGTGGTCGTAACCTATATGGATTTGCTACACGCTTCACTGGCTTCTTTTCCATTTTGTTGCCTTCAAATCGCATGGTGGTGAATGGAGCACTTCTTTGGTCCATTTTCCAGTTCTTTGAGAGTATTGATTGCGTCATTGTGTGAAGAAGACCTTGAAACCTACAAGGCAGAAATGGAGCTGGAGAGGTTTCCAATGGGATCTGTCACTCCCAATGTGCTCATGACCTAGGGAGGGAATGAGGTCTAGTCAATGAACCATGTCGATAACATGGCAGAACCAGTTAATCACCATATATTACAGCCACCATATATTACAGCCACCAAATCTGTGCAGGGGGATAAACAAATATAACCTACTCATCACAATAAATACCAACCATTCCTGGGAAGTACTAAACTGACTAGGTCATCTGTTAGCTTTTTTTCCACATAAAGCCATTAGCAGCAAGTCCATTAGTAGTGGATGATAGGGAGGGACAGAGGGCGTCATGGGACAAAAGCATTTTGGAGTTGTCCTGTCCTCTCGCTCTCCCTCCGGCTCATTTCCACGTGCATCAGTGACCTCCCTCAAGGTCACTCGCTCAGCGCCTCCTGGCCATCAGCTAAATGAGCTCTCTCTCCTCTCACTCTCCACATTTCTCCACCCAAGTGTCTAAACTTAACAGACCAGGGGAGAATGAACGAGCCTTCTGTGTGTGATAGTTCAGCTTCACCTTACCGACGTGCCTCTCCCTATCACACGCTTAAACTGATAAATAAATGTTTATTTACCTATTCTTGCTATGGGTTTGCAGTTTGGAGAATTTATATATGGTAAATTGTAGACCCTCTCATTCACATTAGATGTGTTAGTCACAATTATTCCTCTAGTCTAGAACACCTGGCCTCTTCTATGGGAGATTACTGTATTATGGTCTATATTGTACTGTAGTGCCGGCTGTTGACTTCCTCATGCAATCATCCTCAAAAACTAGGGCTGTCCCCAAACAAAAAAAATATTGGTCAACCTAGAGTCGTCTTTTCTTTCGAAATTCTAAAACATGTATTTTTCCATATATAGACACACCCTATGTGTTTTAATAAAATCAACCCTATGTACTAAACTTGTCTGATGCTTTAAGCACGCTGTTTGATTAAATAAGACACACAAATGACTCAAGCGGGAGCCAGAGATCAAGATAGCCTACCCAGAAGAAAAAAACCTGTTCCCGACCCTCCTACTCCCTCTGCTGCTGGCCTTCACAGATTCTGCAGTTAGGCTCCTGAAGTTGCCGGTAATAGGCTACACCAGCGGTCGGCAACCTTTTCCATGTGGAGTGCCAATTTATCTTACCATCTGCGTGCCAGTTAGGATTTTCATATGAACATTTTCATGGAACAGTTTCATTTCATTTATGTCGTTGTATCTCAACATCATTGTCTGAGGTTAATCTACATTCTATCTAAATATATACTGAACAAAAATATAAAAATGCAACAAGCAACAATTTCAACGATTTTACTGAGTTACAGTTCATATAAGGAAATCAGTCAATTGAAATCAATTCATTAGGCCCCAATCTATGGATTTCACATGACTGGGCAGGGGTGCAACCATGGGTGGGCCTGGTAGGGCACAGGCCCACCCATTAGGAATGTTTTTTTCCCCACAAAAATACTCCTCAGTTTCATTAGCTATCCGGGTGGCTGGTCTCAGACAACCCCGCAGGTGAAGAAGCCGGATGTGGAGGTCCTGGGCTGGCGTGGTTACACGTGGTCTGCGGTTGTGAGACAAAACTCGCAAATGGAATGAAATAAACAAAAATGTGTTTCTCACAAGTCTAGCATAGGTTGTGAGTTCTGCAAACAATGTGTCCACTCCGACAATGAGAACGGTAAACGACTGTAATAATATTAATAATAATATTATTATATTGATTGCATTAACAGAAATACCATAACTAAGCAAACATTGCAGATTAGAAATTATGGGAATTAACTGTAAAATGTAGGCTACTACTGGTGATATATGTAAATGGAGAATTGACAGACACAGCAAACAATGCACACAATTAAGTTATGAAACAATGAATATGCACGAAATGGTATATGCACGAAAAGCTACTTGCTATTAGCCACAGCTAGCGGTGTTTCACTCAGAACATTGGATTTTTTTCCGCGGGATTAATTTTAATCACTGGACATTGATCACCGGATATTCGGCCAGTCTGCACAGCGCGTTATCGACCCAGAACATATCAGTTTTTCCGCCGGAATCACTGAATCACTGGACCTTTAACTCCGGATTCATCGCTACCAGCTGGCTACAACAAAACGGACGCTGTGGTCTGGCTAAGCATCCTGAGCTAGGCCCATCTCCCGGCTATCTACCTCTCTGTCAACCGGACGGGACCACCTAGTGTTGACACGAAGCCCCGCCGATCCTACACGACTGGTCTGCCGACGAAATCGTCTGATGTGGTTACGGCGTTAACCACGAAGATTCCATCCATCTGCTAGCCCTTACTAGCCCCTGCTAACCCTCTTACTCACTAGTGCTTCACCACCGGACCTTATGATAACTCAGCTATACAGCTGATATCTGCTGGACTGTTCCTTTTTACGGTACTACATCCTGTTTATGTTTAGCCTCAGCCCAAACATGGTTAGTTTATTGTTGTTTCGGTTATTTCTAATTGTACTATATCACTGTAGACCCCCCAGCCTAGCTAAACCTGCCTTAGATAGCTATTTTGTCCCTCCCCCCATACACTCAGAGACCGACTCAATTTATGCCTCTAGAGATACTATCTCTTTCATTGTTACCCAACGCTCAGGTTTACCTCCACTTTACTCATATCCTTCCATATCCTTGTCTGTACATAATGCCCTGAATCTTTTCTATAACACCCGGAAATCTGCCCCCTTTATTCTATGTACCCAACGCACTAGAAGACCAGTTCTTAAAGCCTTTAGCCGTATCCTTATTCTAGTCCTCCTCTGTTCCTCTGGTGATGTAGAGGCTAACCCAGGCCCTGCAGCCCTCAGTATCACTCCTACTCCCCAGGCGCTATCATTTGATGACTTCTGTAATCGCAAAAGTCTTGGTTTCTTGCACATAAATATCAGAAGTCTACTTCCTAAGTTTGAGTTATTCACTGCGTTAGCACACTCTGCCAACCCTGATGTTCTAGCAGTGTCTGAATCCTGGTTCAGGAAGGCCACCAAAAATTCTGAAATTTCCATCCCCAACTATAACATTTTCCGTCTAGATAGAACTGCCAAAGGGGGTGGAGTTGCAATCTACTGTAGAGATAGCCTGCAGAGCTCTATCATACTATCCAGGTCTGTGCCCAAACAGTTTGAGCTTCTACTTCTAAAAATCCACCTTTCCAGAAATAAGTCTCTCACTGTTGCCGCTTGCTACAGACCCCCCTCAGCCCCCAGCTGTGCCCTGGACACCATATGTGAATTGATTGCCCCCCATTTATCCTCAGAGTTTGTACTGCTTGGTGACCTAAATTGGGATATGCTTAATACCCCAGCCATCCTACAATCCAAGCTAGATGCCCTCAACCTCACGCAAATTATCAACGAACCTACCAGGTACAACCCTAAATCCGTAAACATGGGTACCCTCATAGATATCATCCTGACTAACACACCCTCTAAATACACCTCAGCTGTCTTCAACCAGGATCTCAGCGATCACTGCCTTATTGCCTGCGTCCGTAACGGGTCCGCGGTCAAACGACCACCCCTCATCACTGTCAAACGCTCCCTAAAACACTTTAGCGAGGAGGCCTTCCTAATTGACCTGGCCCAGGTATCCTGGATGGATATAGATCTCATTCCGTCAGTAGAGGATGCCTGGTTGTTCCTTAAAAGTAATTTCCTCTCAATCTTAAATAAACATGCCCCATTCAAAAAATACAGAACTAAGAACCGATATAGCCCCTGGTTCTCCTCAGACTTGACTGCCCTTGACCAGCACAAAAACATCCTGTGGCGTACAGCATTAGCATCAAATAGCCCCCGCGATATGCAACTTTTCAGGGAAGTTAGGAACCAATATACACAAGCAGTCAGGAAAGCAAAGGCTAACTTTTTCAAACAGAAATTTGCTTCCTGTAGCACTAACTCCAAAAAGTTTTGGGACACTGTAAAGTCCATGGAGAATAAGAGCACTTCCTCCCAGCTGCCCACTGCACTGAGGCTAGGAAACACTATCACCACCGATAAATCTACAATAATCGAGAATTTCAACAAGCATTTTGCTACAGCTGGCCATGCTTTCCATCTGGCTACCACTAACCCGGCCACCAACTCTGCACCCTCTGCTGCAACTTGCCCATCCCCCCCCCCCGCTTCTCCTTCACACAAATTCAGACAGCTGATGTTTTGAAAGCGCTGCAAAATCTGGACCCCTACAAATCAGCTGGGCTAGACAATCTGGACCCTTTCTTTCTAAAACTAGCCGCCGAAATTGTCGCAACCCCTATTACTAGTCTGTTCAACCTCTCTTTCATAACGTCTGAGATCCCCAGAGATTGGAAAGCTGCCGCGGTCATCCCCCTCTTCAAAGGGGGTGACACTCTAGATCCAAACTGCTACAGACCTATATCCATCCTGCCCTGCCTTTCGAAAGTATTCGAAAGCCAAGTTAACAAACAGATCATCGACCATTTCGAATACCACCGTACCTTCTCCGCTATGCAATCCGGTTTCCGAGCTGGTCACGGGTGCACTTCAGCCACGCTCAAGGTCCTAAACGATATTATAACCGCGATTGATAATAGACAGTACTGTGCAGCCGTCTTCATCGACCTGGCCAAGGCTTTCGACTCTGTCAACCACCGCATTCTTATTGGCAGACTAAATAGCCTTGGTTTCTCAAATGACTGCCTCGCCTGGTTCACCAACTACTTCTCAGATAGAGTTAAGTGTGTCAAATCGGAGGGCCTGTTGTCTGGACCTATGGCAGTCTCTATGGGGGTGCCACAGGGTTCAATTCTTGGGCCGACACTTTTCTCCGTGTATATCAATGATGTCGCTCTTGCTGCTGGTGACTCTCAGATCCACCTCTACGCAGACGACACCATTTTGTATACATCTGGCCCTTCATTGGACACTGTGTTAACAAACCTCCAAACGAGCTTCAATGCCATACAACAATCCTTCAGTAGCCTTCAACTGCTCTTAAACACTAGTAAAACTAAATGCATGCTTTTCAATCGAACGCTGCTAGCACCCGCCCACCCGACTAGAATCACCACTCTCGACGGGTCGGACCTAGAGTATGTGGACAACTACAAATATCTAGGTGTCTGGTTAGACTGTAAACTCAACTTCCAGACTCACATAAAGAATCTCCAATCCAAAGTTAAATCTAGAATCGGCTTCCTATTTCGCAACAAAGCCTCCTTCACTCATGCTGCCAAACATGCCCTCGTAAAACTGACTATCCTACCGATCCTTGACTTCGGCGATGTCATTTACAAAATAGCCTCCAACACTCTACTCAGCAAATTGGATGTAGTCTATCACAGTGCCATCCGTTTTGTCTCCAAAGCCCCATACACTACCCACCACTGTGACCTGTACGCTCTTGTTGGCTGGTCCTCACTACATGTCCGTCGTCAAACCCACTGGCTCCAGGCCATCTATAAATCACTGCTAGGCAAATCCCCGCCTTATCTTAGCTCATTGGTCACCATAGCAGCACCCACCCGTAGTCTGCGCTCCAGCAGGTATATCTCACTGGTCATTCCCAAAGCCAACACCTCCTTTGGCCGCCATTCCTTCCAGTTCTCTGCTGCCAATGACTGGAACGAATTGCAAAAATCTCTGAAGCTGGAGACTCTTATCTCCCTCAATAACTTTAAGCATCAGTTGTCAGAGCACCTTACCGATCACTGCACCTGTACACAGCCCATCTGAAATTAGCCCACCCAACTACCTCATCCCTATATTGTTATTTATTTTGCTCTTTTGCACCCCAGTATCTCTATTTGCACATAATCTCTTGCACATCTAGCATTCCAGTGTTAATACTATTGTAATTATTCTGCACTATAGCCTATTTATTGCCTTACCTCCATAACTTGCTACATTTGCACACACTGTATATATATTTTCTGTTGTATTTCTGACTTTATGTTTTTTTTACCCCATATGTAACTCTGTGTTGTTTTTATTGCACTACTTTGCTATATCTTGGCCAGGTCGCAGTTGTAAATGAGAACCTGTTCTCAACTGGCTTACCTGGTTAAATAAAGGTGAAATAAAAAATAAATAAAAAAAAGAGAGCGCATTCTGGAAAGGGATGTGCCTTGTGCAGCTGAGCCACACTCCCCTTTTTCTTGGACCGTGGCATCCCCGCAGCCTCCTCAATGGATTAGTTCCACTAAGAGAGGTGCAAGTCCTTCTGTTCACCCGACCTAGAATATCTCACAATCAAATGCTGACCGTATTATCTCCCAAGAGAATTTTCTTCGGTTATAGTCACGGCCGTGTATATCCCCCCTCAAGCCGATACCACGACGGCCCTCAAAGAACTTCACTGGACTTTATGCAAACTGGAAACCACATATCCTGAGGCTGCATTTATTGTAGCCGGGGATTTTAACAAAGCAAATTTGAAGACTAGGCTGCAGAAGTTCTATCAACATATCGACTGTTCGCGCTGCTAAAATCCTCGACCATTGCTATTCAAACTTCCGGGATGGTTATAAGGCCCTCCCCCGCCCTCCTTTCGGCAAATCTGACCACGACTCCATTTTGCTTCTACCTTCCTATAGGCAGAAACTCAAACAGGAAGTACCCGTGCTAAGGACTATTCAAAGCTGGTCTGACCAATTGGAATCCACGCTTCAAGATTGTTTTGATCACGTGGACTGGGATATGTTCCTGGTAATTTAGACAAATACACTGAAACAGTGACTGAGTTTATCAGTGATGTTGTGCCCACTGTGACTATTAAAACCTACCCTAACCAGAAACCGTGGATAGGCAAGGTGACTGAGAATATGGCAGAATACAAAGAGTGTAGGTACTTACTCCGTAAGGCAATTAAACTGGCAAAACATCAGTATAGAGACAAAGTGGAGTCGCAATTCAACGGCTCAGACACGAGATGTATGTGGCAGGGTCTACAGACAATCACGGACTACAAAAAGAAAACCAGCCACGTCGCCGACACCGACGTCTTGCTTCCAGACAAGCTAAACACCTTCTTCGCCCGCTTTGAGGATAACACAGTGCCACTGACGAGGCCCACTACCAAGGACTGTGGCCTCTCCTTCTCCATGGCCGACGTGATTAAGACATTTAAGCATGTTAAGCCCCGCAAGGATGCCGGCCCAGACGGCATCCCTAGCCGCGTCCTCAGAGCATGCGCAGACCAGCTGGCTGGTGTGTTTATGGACATATTCAATCTCTCCCTTTCCCAGTCTGCTGTTCCCACATGCTTCAAGATGGCCACCATTGTTCCTGTCCCCAAGAAAGCATAGGTAACTGAACTAAATGACTATCGCCCTGTAGCACTCACCTCTGTCATCATGAAGTGCTTTGAGAGACTAGTCAAGGATCATATCACCTCTACCTTACCTGTCACCCTAGACCCACTTCAATTTGCTTACCGCCCCAATAGATCCACAGACGATGAAATCACTGTCACACTGCACTATCCCATCTGGACAAGAGGAATACCTATGTAAGAATGCTGTTCATTGACTATAGCTCAGCATTCAACACCATAGTACCCTCCAAGCTCATCATTAAGCTTGAGGCCCTGGGTCTGAACCCCGCCCTGTGCAACTGGGTCCTGGACTTCCTGACGGGCCTCCCCCAGGTGGTGAAGGTAGGAAACAACATCTCCACTTCGCTGATTCTCAACACTGGGGCCCCACAAGGGTGCGTGCTCAGCCCCCTACTGTACTCCCTGTTCACCCATGACTGCGTGGCCAAGCACGCCTCCAACTCAATCATCAAGTTTGCAGACGACACAACAGTAGTAGGCTTGATTACCAACAATGATGAGACCGCCTACAGGGAGGAGGTGAGGGCTCTGGGAGTGTGGTGCCTGGAAAATAACCTCTCACTCAACATCAACAAAACAAAGGAGATGATCGTGAACAGCAGAGGGTGCACCCCCCTATCCACATCGACGGGACCGCAGTGGAGAAGGTGAAAGCTTCAAGTTCCTTGGCATACACATCACCGACAAACTGAAATGGTCCACCCACGCAGACAGTGTGGTGAAGAAGGCGCAACAGAGCCTCTTCAACCTCAGGAGGCTGAAGAAATTCGGCTTAGCACCTAAAACCCTCACAAACTTTTACAGATGCACAATTGAGAGCATCCTGTCGGGCTATCTCAAGGCCATCAGACTGTTAAATAGCCATCACTAGCACATTAGAGGCTGCTGCTGCCTATTGAAATCACTGGCCACTTTAAGAAATGGAACACTAGTCACTTTAATAATGTTTACATATCTTGCACTACTCATCTCATATGTATATACTGCATTCTATTCTATAATATTCTACTGTATCTTAGTCCATGCCGCTCTGTCATTGCTTGTCCATATATGTATATATTCTTAAATCCCATTCCTTACTAGTTTTGTGCGTATTGGGTATAAGTTGTGAAATTGATAGATATTACTGAACTGTCGGAGCTAGAAGCACAAGCATTTCGCTACACCCGCTATAACATCTGCTAAACACATGTATGTGACAATTAAAATTTGATTTGAAAATCAGACAGGTGTCTCGTGTGCAATTAAAAATATATGTATATTTGCCACTGGTCGACAAAAACAATCTCTGTCGACCAACAGCCTATCGACCAAACAATCGACCAGTCAACTAAATGGGGTCAGCCCTAACACAAACAAAGCCAAATCATCCTAGATTCAACTGCACATGCTCCCCTTCTCCACTCCCCATTCTCTGGTTTCCATGGCTCCCCAATTGAGGTCGTCTGGCTTTTTATTAGCATGCACGTGTGCCTGGAATCAACAGACACATGCTGCCTTTATTCCACTCACTAAATCAGGCCATTTGCCTTGCACACGGGAGAAAACAGAGATCATAGCCAATCCACTGACTAAACAAAGGCAAAACAATACATCATAAACAAGCCTGCTTTGTTTATTGGGTCTTTCGAGTGCACCTGGCATGACTTTCTGGCTCTGGAATCAATGAATGTAGAGAACTCAAAGAGCTCAACACAGAGAAAGATACTCAAATGAAACTGTCTAGACTCAAAATATACCACTGACTGTTTAATGAGTAGGCTAAATGAAAGCCATGTCCCTTTAAGGCAGCACAGAGTTTTCACACATAGGGCTGTGACAGTAATTGAATAACCGTGTAACTGACGGTTATGGATGAAGACCATCATGAAAATAACAGTCAACATTTTTAAATAGGCCTATACATTTATTTTAGGATTTTTTTCCATCTAACTTTATTTTCATTAAGATAAACTTTAACGGGAGTGTTTACTAATGATTATAAGCAATTGTTTTTGCTAACTTAGTCTGTCTCTCCTCCTCTTTCCAACTGTCCTTTGATGCCCAAGCAGCTAATCAACAATACTGAAAAAAAATATAAAACGCAACATGCAACAATTTCATTGATTTTACTGAGTTACAGTTCATATGAGGAAATCAGTCAATTGAAATAAATTCATTAGACCCTAATCTATGGATTTCACATGACTGGGAAATACATATGCATCTGTTGGTCCCAGATACCTTTAAAAAAATGGGCCTCACAATAGGCCTCAGGATCTCGTCACTGTATTTTTGTGCATTCAAATTGCCATAGATAAAATGCAATTGTGTTCGTTGTCAGTAGTATATGCTGGCCCATAACATAACCCCACCACCATGGGGCACTCGGTTGGAAGTACAGCCAAATTCTCTAAAACGACATTGGAGGCGGCTTATAGTAGAAAAATGAACAGCCCTGGTGGACATTCCTGCAGTCAGCATGCCAATTGCACGCTCCCTCAAAACTTGAGACATCTGTGGCATTGTGTTGTGTGACAAAACTGCAAATTTTAGAGTGGTCCTCTGTAGCTCAATTGGTAGAGCATGGCGCTTGTAACGCCAGGGTAGTGGGTTCGATCTCCGGGACCACCCATACGTAAAAATGTATGCACACATGACTGTAAGTCGCTTTGGATAAAAGCGTCTGCTAAATGGCATATTATTATTATTATTATTATTATTATTATTATTGTCTCCAGCACAAGGTGCACCTGTGTAATGCCCATGCTGTTTAATCAGCTTCTTGATATGCCACACATTTCAGGTGGATGAATTATCTTGGCAAAAGAGAAATGCTCACCAACAGGGATGTAAACTAATTTGTGCACACAATTTGAGAGAAATAAGCTTTTTGTGTGTATGGATAATTTCTGGGATCTTTTATTTCAGCTCATGAAACATGGGACCAACACTTTACATGTTGCGTTTATATTTTTGTTCAGTGTAGATTAGCTACACTGGGGTGTAGAACGCTATAGGCTATGGCACTTCAGTAAAAAAAGTAAATAAATAGGTATTCTTTTAAGAAAGGTTGGATGTGTCTGACTATTAATGAATTATTTGTCGGCAGTCGACAAGGTCGTTCTGGCTCTGAGGCCTATAAATGTGCTAATGTTGTGTCAAATGGACAATGCGCCAATCCTCCCCAACCTGGCATGGTATAATTTGATACTGAAATCTTTTCTTAATTTATAGACTAATTAACGCTGAACAGGCCCGGTCCTGGCCAATATGCTGCCCTAGGCGAGACAGAAAACATTACCGCCCTCCTATCCCTGCAAATTGAATAGTAGCCTAGGTTATACAGTGTCAGCCCGCAATGCACTTTTATGATTGCCTATTTGTTTGTAAAACAGGCAATTTACTGTTAATCCCGGTCATGTGGTTACATCCATTTCTGTTAATGTATATATTAATTACAGTAATTTACCGTTCTCATTCTCGGAGTGGAATCGTTGTTTGCAGAGTTCACAACCTGCTACACTTGTGAGAAAAAAGTTATGGTTTATTTCATACCATCATTTACGCGCTCCATGTGCGCAATAAGCATGTGTCTGGTTTCTCTGTCCTGTTGATGTTGACAGAGCCCTGCTGGGCTTCTCAGTCATTTTTTCTTCACCTCACGCAGTAAGTCAACAAACATCCATTCAAATTATAATAGTTCCTCACAGTATTTGAAAAATCTTTCCAACACTCTCACCCTTGATAATCAGCGTTGTTGATAAATAGGCTATGTGTGTATTTGTTTCTATTTTAATAATTGTCAATTTCATCTTCATACTATAGCATAGCTGTCCCCTTCATCATTTACTTGTCAATTCATTATCTTATAGCCTACTTTCGGGAAAACGTAAGGTAAGCCTAGCTTTGAAAAAATATATGTTTTAAGGAAAGGAGAAATATTTGCTGGTGGCTTTGACTGACGGGTGCTTTTATGGGGGTGTGCATTTGCTGATTATCTCTATAGGCCTACACTGAGTGTACAAAACATTAGGAACACCTTCCTAATATTGAGTTGCACCCCCTTTTGCCCTCAGAACAGCCTCAATTCGTCGGGGGCATGGACTCTACAAGAGGTCGAAAGCGTTCCACAGGGATGCTGGCCCATGTTGACTCCAATGCTTCCCACAGTTGTGTCAAGTTGGCTGGATGTCCTTTGGGTGGTGGACCATTCTTGATACACACAGGAAACTGTTGAGCGTGGAAAACCCAGCAGCGTTGCAGTTCTTGACACACTCAAACCGGTGTGCCTGGCACCTACTACCATACCCCGCTCAAAGGCACTTAAACCTTTTGTCTTGCTCATTCACACTCTGAATGGCACACATACACAATCCATGTCTCAATTGTCTTAAGGCTTAAAAATCCTTCTTTAACCTGTCTCACCCCCTTCATCTACACTGATTGAAGTGAATTTAACAGGTGACATCAATAAGGGATCATAGCTTTCATCTGGATTCTTAATGTTTTGTATACTCAGTGTATAGCATTTGCTAGTCATCAACAGGTATTGTTTCAATCCTATGGGGGCCTAATCCTAATGTTTTGTACACTCAGTGTAACTGTATATGTCCATTCAGAAAGTTTCCTAAAGTAGCCTGTCTGGACTCCTCTTTAATAAGAATCAAACACTCCTGTCATGATTTAATCTTGTAAAAGTCCTATTTTCAGAAGCTTAAGTTACATTATTTCTCTCATTATTTCTCCCAATACCACTGCCATCGAATGACTGTGTCACGATCGTCGTATGGAGTAGACCAAGGCGCAGCGTGGAATGCAAACATATTTATTTATTTAATGAATGCACGAACAAAACAACAAAACGAAAACGTGACGTCCTCGGTATAAACACAACCGACACGGCAACAAACCAAAACGGAACAAGATCCCACAAACACAAAGGGAAAACAGACAGTTTAAATATGGCTCCCAATCAGAGACAACCCGCAACAGCTGACACTCGTTGCCTCTGATTGGGAGCCACTCTGGCCAACATAGAAATACAATAACTAGACACTCAAACTCAGCACACAAACAATGAATCTACACATCCTGGCTCAACATATAGAGTCCCCAGAGCCAGGGTGTGACAGACTGCAGCAGCAGGGTTTGTGACGTTCTAAAAATGTTTCGGGAAAAGTGGGAGAAAACCCATCAGACATCGTTTAAATGGTTTTGTGCGTCGAAATAGGATCTGTATTAAAAAACAACAGACAAGGACAAGGTAGGCATAGATCTTTATTTTGACTCCGTTAATGTTGTGTCAATATGAAAATGCGACAACCCGGCATTTATTAATTTGTTGATTCATATTTATAAGTAATAACCTGAACAATAATAATGAAATGCCATGATAATAATGAAGTGTAATGGTTTGTTTCAAATACGTTTTTATTAAGAAGCATATCCATGTAAACAAGCGTACAAACATAATTGTTACCTCCCCCTGAACGGTTATGTCGGTCACCGTGTACATTGGCCTGGCCAATTACTGTAACCTCAAATTCCAAGTCAGTCACAGCCCTAGTCACACACAACAATTATATTTGCTGCTTGTGTTTTCAGTTTAAGTAGGCCTATATTTTTCTCATTAATAAGTGCCTTTCGGCAGCAGTTAAAGTTAGGCCAAAACAAAAGCAGGGCAACAAAATTAGGTTTGAAAAAGAACTAGGTCTGTAGGTTGTTGAGTATTGAATCCATGGAAGTAGACGGGCCACCACAAAAGCCTAAATGGTGGACAACACCTTGGTCTCCCGCTAGATCACAAGTCGCTCTCTCCTTCCCTCCTTCTCTGTTTTTGGTTTCGGTCCAAGTCGGGATGGAAAGTTGCGGTAGTGTGGTAATTGACTCTGTCTGCTCCAGTGCGACCAAAATGTTGCCGGATTTCACCCATTCCTCCCCAACCAAGACTACTGAGTGACCACACTCATAATTTAGAAACCATCAACTTTACTAATGCTAAGCCGTTTAGCACCTTCCTGGCAATTACAGTGACTGCCAGTATTACCCTGTATTACCCACACACTAACAGATGGCATACCAGTAACCCACAGATAGAGAATGGCTGGACTAGCATTCCAAAACACATCTTAAATTGGCAAACCATACCACAACTTAAAACCGCCCAAACACAATTAATTATTGCATTGAAATGATAGTCTAGTCAACATAACCACTTAGTGACATGTAATGCAGTTAGTGTATAGCTGACAGTGGATACAGCCTGTGCCTGGGGGAAGATGTATAGCTTTTCATGAAGCCAACTGAGGCTCCATTTTGATCAATAGCAGCTCTGAGTTAATAAAAAGCATCAGTCAATTCAGCTGGCTACAACATCGCATTGAGACCTGTGGGTGGGCTGAGCTGCTGCTCAATGGAGTCTGCCAGCACAGTCATCTCAATGGAGCCTAGTATTCTAAAAACACTAGCATTATACTGTATGTTTGGGCCATTGTATGTTTGGGACACCAAAACATACGAAGGGTTGAGGTCAATTCCTTTTCAATTCAGTCAATTCAGCGATTAAAAGAAACAACTAATATGAATTTAATTTCAATTCACTTCCTGGATTGACGGATTCATAAACAAATTGACATTGACATCCAAATCTGAATGTAGAATGTTCGATGGTGTAGCAATGGAGTTTCCTGCCCAGGGGTGAAACTGCTAAAGTGACCTGAATAAGTCATCATGTTCATCCCTATAAAATACTTGTTTTTTGAAGCATATTGGGTTATGTGGTCTCTTTGTTCCATAATGGAGCTTCAGAATAGACAGACACTAGTCTGTGAGTAGTACTGTAATCCCCTAACTCACCCAGCTGGGATTAAGGACATAGTAGAGGCTTGTCAGGACTGGTAGGTGTTGTTTCCTTTCAAAGCAGAACAATAACAATATAGTGAAACTGAGGATGGAACCTAGTGTATTGGCACACTGACTACCATTGCCAAAACAACATTTTTGTGGCCTTTCCTCTCCATGAAAAACAATGGCTAGCCTACATGGTCAGTACTGCTTCTCTAACTTCTGACATTTTTAAAAGACTGATCCATTGAGACCAGATGGCAAAAGTGCTTAGTACATTTCCTTTCAAAACCACAACCCAAACTGAACTCAGCCATTGAGATGGAAATTCAATGGTATCTTTATTAATACCTAGTCCGCTCTGCTGACTGCTGGGGTCTCATTGACTGTAGACTTATAGACTCAAAACCTCCACGGACCTCCTGTGTCCTGCCATGGCCTGGAATGCAGTCACTTAAGGCCAAATCCAAATTTTAGGCAACTGTAAGATACACATTGGCAATTTGAACTTTCTCGTAAATTATGCATTGATGTACAAGTAAGGACTTGACCCTTATAAAATGCAGCAGTAAAGGCCAGTCAGTCTCTCCAAGTCCACTGCTTCTCTTCTTTACACATGGCTCTAACATTAACTCCTTAGGGCTTAACACTGCCTGCCTGAGTGGAGCCTCTGCTGTCTCTGACCCTGGCTGCCCTCTGACTCAATGCTCAGTCTCCCATCTGTCTCAATAGGAATGATGGACAGTATGCTGGAGATGGACCCAGCATGACTCTGTCATTCACCCAGAAACCCTGCTTGGCTGGGACAGACAGAGACCGTGGTCTGATAAACAACATGCTCCAGCACACAGAGATGTCAACACACATAAAATGGCTTGGCGTGCTTCATCATAGCAAGTTTCTCTAACCTAACGTTGTGATATAATAGGGTGTTGTATTCTGATGAATAGGAGTCATCCGTTCCAACACCTACAGTAGACAGGATATGACCATCTGCAGAGCACGATGTGTCAATACTGGGCCGACTAATTATGTGAATCTGTCAGGAGGATGGGTGTACTGAGAACACATCTAGACCATGTTGTAAAAATAAACCTTTCTCTTTTAAAGGACTTAGGTTTACTTTCCCACACCGTCTAGTAGACAGCGGATTGTTTACCAAGTCCTATGTGCACCAATTCTTGGCCGTCCTGTGTGTGTGTGTGTGTCAGCATATCCTCCATGGAGATGTGTGCTCCTGTATGGCTACTGGGAGCAGGGCAGCAGCAGTAGCCTCCAGCGTCCTGCTCCTCAGGCTCAGCTAAAAACAGCTCAGACCTCCAGGCAAAGAGAAGAGGAGGAAGGGGATTTACCTTTCCCTCTCCCCTCTCCCCTCGAAATTTCTGTTTGTTTTCATCACTTACTGGGGCCTTGGATCGGGGCTGAGCAATTATCACTCGCTGATCCCCAAAACTGTTAAGAGATGTTGTGAGCAGCATGAAAGTCCTTTTAGGGTGAACAGAGGGGAGCATGGCAGTTAAAAGACATGTGTAGTAGCTAGGTTCTGTTTCACTCAGTACACAAGAGAGAGCAGCACATCTTGCTCTGTTGACTAAGAGCTAATGCTCGTGTTTACCTAGACTCTGTCTGGCACAGGATCCATAGCATAAATGCTGTATTGGTGCGACAGTAGCAGTGCACACTTTCCCAAACTCCTGGGTTAGGCTAGTCATAACAACGTCTGGACTCAGAAAGAGGCTGACCATATGTGGCTCAACCGCAGCTTTATATGGAGGAACTAGGGTTGAATAAGGAGCTAAAACGTGTCCTTACAAAGTCGGAGTCAAACTTGTGAAATAGGTGGACAGGTTATATAATAGGGATGCGCAGCTTTCCCTTTCAAGACGATTCGATACGTATCTAGATACACGGGCTCCAATGCAATACAAGAAGGTACGTTTTAGTTTCGGCGCGATTCGGTTTGATTAGAGAACGAATCGATGAAATACGATGCACTAACATTTGTTGCATAAACACATTCATTTCCCATTCTTAACTAAAATCTGCTGCTGATGGAGCTCATGAGCTGGGCCTCTCTGAGCTGGATCTGTCTGAGCTGAGCCATAAGGGAGACTAGGTATCTACCACCCCACTACCACTATCAGATTAGGGGGGGGGGGGGGGGGGGGGCAACGTAGCCCATGTTCTTTGTCCCCCACTTTGGTTCTGAAATCACCATCTCCCAATAATTAACTTGTCATTTTTGATTAACAGATTAAATGTTTAAGCTAGTAATGTATCAATATTTATCTATGCCATAGCCAATGAATATATAGCACAACTTTGAATTTCACCCCCCATCTCAAATCTTCTCCTCTTGCTTCAGCCATGTAGTGCACCTCGCAAAAGTGATTGCTTTCCTCGTTATGAAATTACGAACTTTACCCTGTATCTCTAAAAATGACCACTGATTGTTTAAAGCAAAACTACCAAAACTATTGCTGATGTTGAACCTGAACAATCAAAATAAAATATATATATATATAAAATCTACTGTAAACCCAGTTCAGCAGGTATAACCAGATGAGAGCCTGCTCCTTACTTTTATTCCGGTAAAAACATGTTTTAACAGCGCATAATAACAATAACCTAGCAAATTACATAGGATGTCACTCAATTAATAAAGCCTAATATCACGCAAGCTATTTTAGCATTTGAATGCTGAAGGTGCCGCGCAGATGTGCAAGATCAGGAACAGGCCGCCTACCTTGCATTGGTCAACATGTGAAGCTGGACACAGTTTGACTTAGCCTACTATTTTTCCTGGGGTTGTTCGGCATGCTAAATGACTTGTAGATCAACCCCCCTGTATATATAGCCTCCCTACTGTTATTTTATTTTACCTCTGCTCTTTTTTTCTCAACACTTATTTGTTGTTGTTTTATTTTACTTTTTTATTAAAATAAATGCACTGTTGGTTAAGGGCTGTAAGTAAGCATTTCACTGTAATGTCTGCACCTGTTGTATTCGGCGCATGTGGCCAATAAAATGTGATTTGATTGTCAACACAGTTACATGCAGTTCAACACTGAAGGAGAGGATGCATCAGTTGTCACAAAATATGAGGTATTTTCAGAAGGTAGAAAGAATGTAAAAAAAATATTGGGTGAACCAGCGATTCGTAACATTTGAATCGATTTTCTGACCGATGCATGCTACATTTGGATCGGTTTGGGGTCCGCGGACCGATGCACTTGTATCTTAAACGTTTGAATCGGGGACCGATGCGGATCGTTACATTCCTATTAAATAGGCCTACATGTTTACACTGATCATGAATAGACCTAGACCTAGGCTATAGTACAGTCAGATGCATGTTGAGATAATATTATGTCCACCCTGTGCAACAGCCTGAGGTCTGACTCGGTTTGACTCATATGTCCAAGATGTGATGTGAGCCTTACGCAATTTTCTCTAGAGCCCTTCTCCTAGGAATGGCCAGTGTGTAAATGTGTCCTGCTTGTGCTCTCAGACAGAAATCATTAAATGTGTACTAAACCCAGCTGAATACACCAAGACAGGGAATTGGGAGTCTGACTGTGAGTGTAAATCTTGACTGCCTGAAAAAACTACCTGACATAATGTGACACTGCTGCTGATTAAGGATGCATTTATAGAGGGAAGGATGGATGATAGATCATCTCAAGCCTTCTGCAATTACTTCAGAGAATGCTGAAGTATGGAGAAAGATGACAGCTTCTAGAGCAGTGGTAACTTTTTCAGCGGGGACCCCATTTTTTCCACAAGAATTTCTGAGGACCCCATTTTTTCCACAAGAATTTCTCGCGACCTCACCCCTCCCCAAATCTAATGACACAACCTTAAAAAATCGGTACATTTTGATTTTTACATCAACAAATAACCTTAAATTCATGACATTTCTCAAAAACTTTTGTATATTGTCCCATACAATAATCTGTACTCTTAATTTGTTGTTGTCCCCCCCCAAAACCATTTTACATTTTTATTTATTTATTTTGGCGACCTCACTGCAGTTTCCCCGCAACCCCACTAGGGGTACCACTGTTCTAGAGAGTATGGATAAGAGCCAATTTATGCTTTGTATGGAGGCATGTAGAGGCCAAATTTAGCTCTGTACCGCATCGCTGTGCGCCTCCCAAATTTGTAACAATGCGGAGGGCTCCGTATAGCTCCGCATTGACATGATTGGTTGACGGTAGGTGGGGGCGGGATGTCCTGTATAAACACAAACTCACTTCCTTGACAACCTCCTTGTCCGGCGGGGGAGAGTTTTGTGGAGGAGACTGGCATCAGGAATGACGTCGGTCGATTGGGGACTAAGTGGCGGACCAAATTTTTTCAGATGGAAGATGAAGGCCAAGATGTCGACACAAGTCCAGAGGATAGAATAGACGCCGGAGGGAGCAATGAAGAGGTCATTGTGGACTGAGGCCGAGGATAGAATAGACGCCGGAAGGGAAAGGAGGGGGAAAATGGGAGTCCTTTGAAAAGGCAAGAAATAGATATTGGTCAGGAGAAATGCAGTATTATCATAAGGAGACGTATACTTGGATGAATGAGGAGGAATGGAG